GTCAAGTGCCTCCAAGACCATGTATAGATATCCAAGTCCCACCCACAGGAAGACGAGTTCAGGAACTTGAATTTATATTCCAGCTTATTGAAAAAATGAGTAAAAGCACAGTAGACTTGTATCAGCAAGAGACATGCATTCATTCTGGAAAGGGAAGGGACAGAAAGGATAACTGGGAGTAGGAAAAGGACAAACATTCAAGGAAGAGGGAAAGATAACTCAGATCAGGTTGGGAGGGCTGGGAATCTGGCTTAGTGATAAAGTGCTTGCCTAGCATGTATGAAGCCCTGGGTTTGATCCCTCAATACCATATATACAGAAAAATCTGGAAGTGGTACTGTGGCTCAAGTGGTAGAGTGCTAGACTTTAGCAAAAGAAGTCAGGGACAGTGCCCAGGCCCCGAGTTCAAGCTCCAGGACTGGCACAAAAAAAAATAGTGTATTTGAGGGCTGAGAAGGTGGCTCAGTGGTAGAGCGCTTGCCTTGCATGCCTGAGGCCCTGGGTTTGATTCCTCAGCACCACATAAGCAAAAAAGAAAAAAGCCGGAAGTGGCGTTGTGGCTCAAGTGGTAAAGCGCTAGTCTTGAGCTGAAGAGACGAGGACAGCGCCCAGGCCCAGAGTTCAGGCCCCACGACCGGACCCCCCCACCCCCCAAAAAAATAGTGTATTTGAAGGCAAGGTATGGCAACAGGACCAAGCGACTCTTGATTGAGTCTAGGAGAAATTGGCCCTTTAGTGATTGGAGTTGCTGGGTTCAGGGGAGCACGTTATGTTTTTGGACAAAGTTGTTCTGGGAGCTAGACAGTGCTTACATACATCATATATTTAACTATGGAACATCTGTGGGTTTTAAGTTTTGAGCTGTGATCAGTAAACAAGCCAGAGCATAGTAAAGTGATGGAGGAATGTGTTGGGATTTAGGAGGGAAAGAGAAAGAATGGTTAGGAAAAGCCTCCCAGAGAAGATCCTGATTGGCTCAATCTGGGACATGTTTCTTGTCTCTGATCCAGTCACTGGTGAAAAGGCTGTATAGCACTGGCCAAGCTCAATCCCATGCCCGATGGACCATCTTATTTGGCCAGATGAGCAAGGACCAGTACCATGTATATTTCATCTTCTCTTAGAAAGGAGGAAGGGAGAAGCAAGAGATGACCATCATCTGGCGTGTACCTTGCAGGGCAGGTAGGACAGAAGACTAGACCTGTTTGTAAGAGAACCAAGGGCCAGAGATCCAGATGCCTATGCAAGCAGTAAGCGAGGGCATCAGACAGGTTGGCAGTGTCCAGGGAGCTTGCCCTTCTTCATACCTTCCTTGTGGCCTGGACTCACAACCACTAGCATCTTTGTAATGGTTGTTCTTCATCTGTATGTCACACTGAGCACTGAGGAAACAGACTAGAGTAAGTTAACCTCGATGGGGTGGGACTAAAATTCTATTCTGTTTCTTTAATGCAACCATCAGCTATCAGATGGAACTGCCTGGCTATTATTAACCCTAGGCTAACAGAATCAGTGCTTAGCAGGCAGTCACTGAAGTATGGCAGGTTCCCAGGCAGTAACATTTATATATGGGTGTGTGTATATATATATGTGTGTAGATATATATGTATGTATACATATATATGCATATGAGAATTGGTTGGAAGGGGAAATATTTTCAACTACAGTTCCAAAAATTACTGAATGAGGAACTCAAACCAAATATTCCACTAGAACTAGACAGTCACCAACTGTGCAACCCTGGGCCAGTTATGCATCTCTTCAGAACCTCTAGCCTTCCTTCATTTGTCAAGTGGGATTAAGAGTAGTAGTACTTCCTTTTAAAGTTATAAATTAGATAACATATGGAAGCGACTTCGGACAGTGTTTAGCAAATGGCAGATGTCCATAAATGCTGTATTGTATACTGATGCCACAGGAGCTAAAATCCACAACTTAGGGGGAAAACTTATTGGTTTATAAATGCCAAAGTATGCAGATTTTTCTGGAAGTGCTGAGTAGCCAAGAAGAACATATTTGCAGGCCAGAGGAACCCACTTTGAGCCCTTAGTCTAAGGCTTCTTTTCTCTTTGACGTATAGTTTTGTCCTCCAGGGAACATTTGGTAATACCTGGAGATGGTTTTTGTTGTGACAACTTGAGGTTGTTACCAGCACACACAGTCATTTGGATATTTATAACACCATTTGCTGGTCATATAAAATTATCAATATAGGCAGATGATGAGAAGCATAGTGGAAGCATACATGTCTGTCCCATCATGTACTAAATAATTTTGTGAGCCTCCAGCTGGACATTCCCTAGCCCTGATAGTGTGGTGGAGTCCAGGAATGCTCTAAATACTCCACTGTGTATAAGAAAGTTTCTACCATAGACGCATCTGTCTCTAAGGGAGCTTAACTGCTACTAGCTAGAGGCAGGAGAAAGATGCAGGGAGCCAGGCAGGGCTGGGTCTGCCTGTTGTCATGGTGACCAGCTCTTGTGGCCTCTGCTACATTTCACAGGTCTGTTAGGGTCAGAAAGATAGGACTGTGCCCTTTCAACCCTGGGGAACCACACTGCCCTGGCTGAACCCTTCTCGGCCTAATGTCCTTTCCACAGCCCACACTTCCTGTTTACAGAGGTGGTGGCTTGAGTATGATGTGAAAAATGGGGACAGTGAGTGCCAGTGTGGTGTCACTTGAATTCCCAAGGGGTAGGCATGGTGACCTGCTAGCGATTTTCAGTTCTGGCCGCCTGTTCCTGGTGGAATGTTTGGGTTCCTCATTTAGTAATTTTTGGAATTGCAGTTGAGGATAACTCCCTTCCCAACTCACTCTCTCTGTCTCTCTGTTTCTATCTCTATCTCTGTGTGTGTGTGTGTGTGTGTGTGTGTGTGTGTGTATTCATGAATGAAAGTAACAGAACAGACCTGTAGTCCCCCCTCATCCAATCCATGTTCTGTACAGATCTTCTTCCTCCTGAGGCACAGCCCTAATCGTCATGTCCTCCCACTCAATGGCTTTCCATGACTCCCAGTTCTACTCTGAAGGAAGCCAGTGCTCCCATCAGCCTCCGCAATCTGGCCTAGCCTCCATGTCCAGCATATCCCCTGCTCTTCCTGTTTCACATTTCTCTTTGAACACCTGCCACCTTTCCACACTGCTGGTCTCCTGCCTTTGCTCAGGCTGTGTCCCTGCTGTCCTACCACTGGCCATGCACTGAAAGGGAAGGTGGCTCTAGGAGCCTTCCCGCCTCCTCCCATGGCACTTCATCCTGTACCCTTTTGGGATACTTTCTACCTCCTGCCCAGGCCTGTGTGCTCTTGACCCTCAGCCCTGCCAAGGGATTTAGCTTTGGGTTCCCTTCTCTGGACAGCGTCCTACCTCATCACTGATATCACAGAGATATTGGTTTGGCCTGTACTACATACTATGTGTGTTGGCTCTTCATCCATGACACTTATCACAGCATTCCACTCTCACAAATTAGGAAGCCAAGGCTGAGAGGAACTGTCCCAGCACTCATTCATAGATTTTTTTAGTAATGCTATCTAATGAGCACTCTGGTAGGAAAGGCTTGGTAACAGGGCTGCATTCGTGTGGAAGTTGGATGTCCCAGGCGGGCGAGGCTCCTGCACCTGGTTGGAACTCGCACGCAGACAGTGAGGGCCAGCCCCTGTCAAAATCTAGGCAGTAGCCGGGTGCTGGTGGCTCACGCCTGTAATCCTAGCTACTCAGGAGGCTGAGATCTGAAGATCTCGGTTCAAAGCCAGCCCGGGCAGGAGAGACCGTGAGACTCCTATCTCCAATAAACCACCAGAAAACCGGAAGTGGCGCTGTAGCTCAAGTGGTAGAGTGCTCGCCTTGAGCTGAAGAGCTGAGGGACAATGCCCAGGCCCAGAGTTCAAGCCCCACGACCGACAAAAAAAAAAAAAAAATCTAGGCAGTGATCGGACCATGGAAGGGCAAGAGACCAGCAGGGGAGAGTGTTGCCTGAACTTTGGGATCAAACCAAGGTTTAAAGCATCCATTGTGCCCTAAAAGCCAGGAAGTTGGTATTCAGATGAGTGCCAAATGTGTGTCCTACTCGAGGAAGACAAGCCTTGAAGCAGGAGAGTGCAGACCTGCTGGTGGAATATTTCCTGGATGACCTGAATTGCTACTTACTGTAAAGGCGAACCGGGATGCTAGATCAATGTGTCCAAAACAGTGGCCTGTGGAATGTCATTTTTATGAGCTGTTAGTGAATACTGAACAACAAATACGTACTCTGGTCTTATTCACCTGCAGAACAGAATTAAAGAAAGAGTCTGTAGGGCTTCCCAGAATTCTTAATGCACTAATGTCACTTATGAGTCACAAAGGCCAGACAGGATGTGTAGAGATTTCCAATTTACGTGACCAGGGAATTCCCTTTCCATGCAGTCTCCCTCTGGGAATTTGTTTCTGGGTACAAATTGGGAATTCATATTTAGTTCAGTGATTTCTGTGCCCCAACAACCAGCATTTCATCCCATATATTCTGTGCTTTTCTGTATTGAAAAGAAGCTGGGCCCGGCATCAGTGGCTTATGGCTGTAATCTCAGCTACTCAGGAGGCTGAGATATGAGGATCACAGTTTGAAGCTAGCCTGTCTCTGTGAAACTCTTTATCTTTGCAATTAACCACTAAAAAACTGGAAGGGGTACTACTGTGGCTCAAAGTGATAGAGTGCTAGCCTTGAGCAAAAGAGCTTAGGGACAGCGCCCAAGCCCTGAGTTCAAGTCCTACTACTGACAAGAAATGAAAGGAAAATAAATTGGTAAATGAACCAGAAGACTTCTTCTTCTGCCTTCAACATTAAAAAAAATTAACTGTTTTAACTGATAATATTTATATGTATAGTGTACAATATATGTGTACTAGTCAAGTCCAGTATATGTTGGCATATTATGTGTAATAATCAAGTCAGATGATTAACATTCCTATCTCTTCAAAGACTTATCATTTCTGTGTTGACATTTGTTCTTCCATATTCCAGAGCAAGGAGATTGGCCTGCAGATGCATGAGGAGCTCCTGAAGGTGACCAATGAGCTCTACACAGTAAGTCCTGCCCAGGCCCACTGCTGCTGGGGACTGGAGGACCTGTCTTCAGCACCCAGAGCTGGAGGGAGGTGAAGCAGGAGTCTCTTAGCTGTGTCCTGTGTTGGAATGACAGTAAATTACTATGTCAGAAGTGTAATTGACATCTGGGATGAGGTCTAGACATGTTTGGTTGGTAAAAGTTCATGGGAGATTTGAATAGCCTGCAGAAATGGGGTATGTTACTTGTGAAAATGAAGGAGCACAGTCAAGGTGAGGAAGCATGAGAAGGAAGGCTTCGAAGGGCGGGGATGCGCAGTGGGGCCTTGGGCAGGCACACTACTTGTCTGGGTCCCAGGATCCTCTCCTGCGAATCCCTTTTCTGAGGATGATGTTTGCTGAGGAGGTGAACATGTCATCCCATTTCCTAACGCCCCCATTTGGCCCAGAGCTGACCTGCTGCCTGCTTGGAATGAGGTGGGGGGGGGGGGTTACGTGAAAGAAGCAAGTGAGTGAAGAGTGTAAGCACCGTGGGTCTGTGGGGTCCCAGCTCCCAGACTGCTTTGAGCTGCCGTTAGCTTCCTTAGAGAGGAAATAGAGAGCAGCAAGTGGGGTGCCAGCCCCTCAGCCCTATGATGTCCAGAGCAACACCTAGAACTATTATGTTATGTACCAGGGTTCCTTGTAAAGCTTCTCATTCAAAGTGCAAGTAGAGGGAGTCTGCTAAAATTCCATTTGAAAATCCTTGTTACAAGGGAAAAGAACCACAGGCCTGTGAAGCTCCCTCTCTTGGCTGTTACTGTCTTTCTAAAGTTGTATATGGTAGAGCCAGCATGTGGTTGGCTCCTCAGCATTGAGAGCATTTGCACAGGGTCTGGAGCTTAAGAGGAAGGCGGGGTTCAGACTCCAGTCAGCTGCAGGACTTAGGGTAAGGCATTTGCTTTTCTGAGTGTCAGTCTCCCAATCTATAAAAATGAAAGGCTGAGTGTGGTGGCAAGCTAGTTAAGAGGTTGAGAGCTGGGCTGGGAAGGAGGCTCAGTGGTAGAGCGCTTGCCTTTCATGCTCGAGGCCCTGGGTTCGATTCCTCAGCACCACATAAGCAAAAAGAAAAAAGCCGGAAGTGGCGCTGTGGCTTAAGTGGTAGAGCGCTAGCCTTAAGCTGAAGAGCTGAGGGATAGCGCCCAGGCCCAGAGTTCAGGACCCACGACCCCCCCCTCCCAAAAAAAAAAAAAGAGGTTGAGAGATAGGGAGGTCAGCCCAAGGAAAAAGTTAGATTCCCATCTCAACAAATAAGCTGGGCCTGACCTGATGACACGTGCCTGTGACCCCAGCTACCTACCTAGGAGGTATAGGTAGGAGCAGCATAAGACTGCAGTTTGAAGACTGAACAGCACTAGGAAGGTGTTAAGGATCAGTAGGATGGCAGCCTCTCTGTACCCCTCATGATGCCCTGGGTCCTGAATCCAGCAGATCCTACATTCATAGCTATCCCTGCTATCCCAAGGGCAGGGGAGCTGGATGGAAATGCCACTGGCATCACACACTCAGACAGGCAACTCTTGCCATGCTGAAGGTAGCCTGGCTGGAGGGAGGAGGCCCAGTGACTCTCAGCACACTCTCTTTTTGTTACAGCAGTGTAGGGGAGTGGGGGAGGGAGAGAGGGGAGTGGAGTGTGTCTCAGGGTACCAATAACACCTTCCTAATCTTTTGTTGTTGACTGAATTCTGAGTCTTGGTACACTTGGCCTTCTGAATCCATGTATTCAACCAGCCACAGGTGGAGATTTTTTTAAAATTATATCTCTGTTCTGAACATGTGAGGATTTTTACTAAACAATATGTTACAATTGAGCAACCATTATATAGCATAACACAGTATTATATATAATTAATCTAGAGACAACTTAAAATACATAGGAAGATATGAGTAGGTTCCTGTCTACCTGGAAACAGGAACAATGTAGAGGGAGATTCCAAGGGTAGGCATTTCATTCATTCATTCATTCATTCATTCATTTAACAGGCCTTCCCTCTGCCAGTCTTCATAGCCTTTAAATGTCTAAAGCATGTTAGTCTAACTGGACGTGCATGTTCACACACCCATTTACACATATGCACACACATGCATGCATGTATACATGCTCAGACTCTTTATACACTAGTGTTCATACAACTTCTCTTTTTTCTCTGAATCCACATCAGCTCAACACATTATATAGCCTTTGATCACATAGTAGTTTGGGAGGAAAAATGGGCAGAGAATGAGATTTCAAATCACTGTGCCAATCCCTCTAGAAGAGACAAAACCCAAACAAAACAACAAACAGCCAGAAGCTCACTCTTGTTTTCATTGTTCAACTAAAAATATGTTTAGGTTTTTCAGTGAGATTTATCTGTTATGCTGTTAGCCAGCCAGCATCTCAGCTCCTCATTTGTGCTCAGTAGCTTTGCCCAGGCTCGCCCAGACAATAATGCCCAGCCTGCCTTTCAAGTCCAGGCTGTAGGAGGGCCCAGAGCTGCTTTTCCATGTAGAGAGGCCCAGGAACATCCACACCCAGCATCAGATGGTGGCAGGTAGGCACTAATGATAGTAATGAATAGGTTCTACCTTTTATAGACTCAAGCCTTGATTGGATTATGCACTGGGCACAGGAGTATGAAATCTACTGTGGGTCTCCAGGCAAAGCTTTGCAAAGGTGTCTCTCTCCTGATGTCTAGCTCTAGGAGACATGTGTAGAAAGGACTTTACCCCAGGAACCCACTAACCAGGGTTTGGTCTACCTTTGTAAAATGGCATTCAGGGGTACAATCCCCACAGCTTCAATATACCATCAGGTACTCACACTTAATATTTCTCTTTAAGTTGCCTATAACTTTCTCTTAAACAAATTCCCCCCTCATCTCCATTAGTAAAATGTAGCCATGTGCATTAGCAAGAGCACAGGATTTAGAGACAGATGGGCTGCCTTCATGGCCCTGCCAGGGAACCTTGTGAGCCCAGCTCTTCCCTGGAACCCAGCACACTTCTACCTCCTCATCCAGCGGCGGCTGGGAGAGGGATACCCACAGAGCAGCTTGGTATCTGGCCAGCATTTGTGCTACACCATCATCTCTCATGGATGAACCAGGCAACCATATTTTTCCTCTTAATTCTGCCTTTTTCTCTCTTCTCTAGCTTCCCTTGCCAGTGGTCAACCTGAGTCTTACAGGTTTTGCCTGAAAAAGAATAATCACCTCTCCTTGGCTGGCTGTCCTCAGGCCTTGCTCCATTCTACACATGCCAGACTTAACTAGAGGATCTTTCTTTTTAAAAATCATTTACTTTTAAATTTAGAAATGGATTATGTGTGCACTCAGGAAAAAGAACAAGAAACAAAATAGCAGTAATTAAACAGTACAGAAAGATGGATGGCGAGAAGTGTGTCTCCCACTGCCTGATTCACTGTCAAGTTACTACCCCTGTTACTTACTTGTCAGTGCCTACTTAGTGCAGTCTACTACTAGAGCTGTTTTATCCACCGAACAGCACATGTCAGGACACACCACATACCTAGTTCGAATCAGCATAACCCACCCTACCTGTGGGACTGCATCTCCCTTTGAACTATAGCCAGGCACTGGTCTGAGTGCTTTAGGTGGGCTGACCCATTTCTTCCTCCTGATAATACCACCCCCATTTTAGGAATGACAGATCTGAGGCACAGATCATCAGGCCAGAGTTACCTATCCACGCCTATGCCGGAATGTGTGCTTAAACATCTCCCTCAGGCTTCTTGAGTAACTGTGCTAACCTATTTCTATAAATATGTATCTACTCCAGTTGTCTCCTGGTATTTACAGAGTATTGGTTCCAGCCTTCCTCACAGATGCCCAGATGTGTAAATGCTCAGGTGTCTTGCAGGATATGCCATATTTACATAGAACCAATACATATCCCTTATATACTTTATATCACTTCTAGATTGCTTGTCATACCTAATACAAAATTATATGTAAAAATATGCAAATAGTTGTTATTCTGTATGGTTTAAGCAAATTTTTAAATCAAATTTTTCTGCCCCTTTTTTTTGCCAAAGTTTTCTGAATCTGAAGAGTTGGAACCTGCAGAGACCAAGGGCCATTTATTTGGAAGGAGGTGTCTAGAGCCAATGGGAGACAAGTAGTATAGAAAGAGGGCTCCATGGCATATCGAAACCCAGGTAGCATTGTTCAACCTGGCCCTAGCTGCTACGCAGCAGTGGAAAAGCATTACAGGCCCATTAGCACTGCACTGCATCTTTCCTTCTATGTACCAGAAAGATCCCAAGGCCATTGAAGAGGTTAATAAAATGGTGGTGACACTGGAAATTATCTTGCTTGCACAAGTAACTCCCCTCTCATGCATCAGGAAGCTGACCCAGCACAAGTTAGCTGGGCTGTGGGCCTGCGCTGCCTCATTGGAGGCATGAAGGTGGGGTGAGCAGGGAAGCAGGACTAATTGTAGGACCCTTTGAAGCTCTTGTCTTCACACCACTCTGAGAGAGAGGTGAGATGTATGTCTAGACAGGACAGTTTGGCAGGATTGTCACATCAGCATGTTTCGCTCAGGGGAGCTCTGCCTGCTTGTCACAAGAGTGTGTGCACAGTTTTAGCCCAGAATGGAACTGGTCCTCAGAGGACTAGGGTGGCCTGGTCACCTCTTCCAGTCCCTTGAAGAATACATATTTGGTCCAAATGCACTTATTGATCATTGGTGTGTTTGCATGAGGAGACGTGGTTACATATTGGGGTAGTATCCCACTGGGGAATCTGACACAGAGTGAGGGAACACAGAAGAGGTGTGGTAATGAAGGCACCGAACATCCAAGACAACAGAGGGGTGGCATTCAGGAGGCCACCTCTTGAATAGAACATCAGGGTTCCAGCAAGGAACACCACCATGCCCCCCCCCCAATCCCCATTCCCTGTTTGGCCAGACAGCGGTGTTAGTAAGCTACTGCGCTGTTTGGCTAGTTGGGAACAGGACTGCTTTGAGCAGTGCTTGAACGTGCGTGTGTGTGTGTTTGTGCGCGCGTGCGCGCACGTGTACATGCATATACATGCATATACTCACACACATCTAGAAGGGAAGGAGGCCTATCTTTTGAATCTATTTAGTGGCTGTTTTAGTCTATTTAGTGATGCTATAGCAAACTGTTAGATGCTATGTATTTTATAAAGAACAGATATATGTAACTTAATAATTATGGATTCTACAAAGTCCAAGAGCACAGTGCCAGAAGCTGGCGAGGACCTTCCTGCCACACCATCCCACAGCAGAAGGCAGGAGGCAAGAATGACCAAGGCAAGATGGCAAGAGGAGGCCAAACTCGATTTTATAACAAACACACTCTTCTGATAACTAACCTACATCTGCAATCATTAATCACCTCCCAACATTGTTACATTGGTGATTAATTTTCACACACCTGCACTTTGCAAGACACATTCAAACCATAGTACTAGATATGGAAAAATGACAAGTGTTGAATCGCATGAACAGGTAGCCCCAGCATAGGTGGCACAGGGGTTCACACACTTGCCTAATTATCTGCCTTGTCAAGAGAGTGTGTGCTGTCTTCCACACCATTTTAAACACCTTGCATAGTGCCTGGAACCCCATTAAGTGCGCAATAAATATGTAAACATTGAGGCATAACAATCATTTCCTCATCTAGTACATATACTCACTAGATCCAAGGCAGTAGAACTATATTTCCTCTGTTTATCCTAATTCCCTCCCTCCATCCTTCCCTTCCCCTCCCTCCCTCCCTTCCACCCTTCCTTCCTTTGTTGGATGTCCCTTGTCCAAATTTTTTTGGCTTTGTTTTCTTCTGTGTGGGCTTCGTGATCTATCAGGCATCTTCCATATGGTGACAAAGACTGTCCCCAGCACTGCAAGCTTTCACAATGGCATCCTTCCTCCTTTCAGTAGAAAGAGAAGGCTCCCTTCCTAGTGTTTGCAGCAAAGCCCCAGGGCTGCTTCTAATTGGCCTGGTTCAGACCTTGAGCCCTACTCATATGGCCAGATTAACATGATGTGTGCCAATTAGCCAGGCCTGGGCCTCATGCCCATCCCAGGATTGGAGATGGTGTCAGTTTCTCATGAACCCCATGGTCCCTGGGAATACTGGAGGGGAATTTTGGGGATTCAGGAAATCAGGAAACTGTTACTGGAGACCTAGATGATCTCAGACTAAGAACAACACATGTCCTCTGATGGGGCAGCTGGGGTGGGATGCAGCCGTGGCTCCAGCAGTCACCTGAGGCTCTTCTATCTGTGGAAGCTGTCCTCTCTGTCCTCTCTGTCCTCTTTGGCTCTTGCTTCCCCTGGGCTCAGGGCTCACTTCCACCCACTTACAAGTCACTGTTCTCCCTTCATGAGTCAATTTAGATGTCACCACCTCCAGGATGTCTTCCTATGGAATTGTGTACTCCCCTTCATCAGAGTGGTCATTACATTATAGGATAATCACTTGTAGAACTGACTGTGGCCCTACATCAGGGTAGAGACTCCATATATCATACATACGATAATATTGTAATACTGTAACATTGCAATACTGTAGTATTTTTTACAAGACTGTAATGTTTCCTGGCATAATACCTGGGAATATTACTGCTTGCTAAATATTGAATGATGGTGCTAGGGCTGACCTCAATCCCAAGATAGAATCCCAAGATAGAATCCCAACGGTATCTCCCTCATTTTACTCTTTCTCCCTCTCTTTTTCCCTTTGCCTCATCATGCACCCACCACCATCTATCCACCCTGCACTACGAATTTATCCCTCTACCTGTCTATCCACTTGACCAGCCAATCAACCGTACTCGTAAGTCCACTGCTCTGTGGATCCATTCATCCAACCAAGCATTCATTCACTCAGACATGTAAATAAATATCCATAGTTGCTGACTACCATTCTTTGCTCTATGATTATGAATGAGGTCCTAGCCCTCAGGAGTTGGCATTCTAGTAGGTTAAGATAATGTATAAACATGGATGATGAGTAAATTAAGATGGAAAATAAGTTGTATAGGCCACATGGGTTGTCAGACTGAAATTCTGGGATTTCTAGGCCATGCCTGTGGAGTGGAGCAGGCACGTATAGTTTGACTTGTTGAGAAGCTGTTTTATAACAACTAACCCTTATTGTGCCCCAGTGTGTCTCTCCATAGCTGTCAGTGTCCGGATCTGTTTATTTGCTTTTGTACTTAAATAAGGGTCTGAAGAACAGCGCCACTGGCACTTGCCTGTTTCAGGATCTGGGAACCTTGGGAGGATGCAAAGCATCCTCCACAGTGAAGGGCAGAGATTCCAGAACAGGCAGGCTTAGGTATCAAAAGCAATGTTCCCGCCTCAGTTCTGCCTGGCTTCCTATGTGATTTAGGAATGCACATCCTTTGCTATTCCTTTTTCTTCTTTCCTTCTCTTTCCTTTTGTTGTTATTCTTTTGTTTGGTACTGGGGTTTGAACATAGAGTCTTGCTCTTGCTAGACCAGTGTTCTGCTACTTGACTCATCTCCCCCAGTCCTTTTTCACTTTAGTTATTTTTCAAATAAAATTTCATGTATTCCCCTGGGTCTTTCAATTTATTATCCTCCCATTTATACTCTGTGTGGCTGGGACGGCAGACATATACCACAATACTAGGTATTAATTGGAGAGATCTTGCTAACTTTTTGCTCAGGTTGGACTTGAACTGTGATCCTCTTGCTGTGTTTCAGGCACAGTCAACTCTGGGTATCAAGTTGGTTCTGCATCTACAGATTCTACCAACCACAGACTGAAAATAGTCAGAAAACAATTGTGTCAGAACTGGACACGTACAAGCCTTTTCCTTGTTCTTTTTGTTCTCTAAAGAGTACAATATGAAACGACTTATTATATTACTTACATTGTATTAGGTATTATAAGTCAGGGAGAGAAGATTTGAAGTATACAGAAAGACATTTTTAGGTTATATGCAAATACCATGCTGTTTTATATAAAGGACTTGAGCATTTGCAGATTTTAGTATCGGTGGGGGGTCTTGGAAACAATCCTCCATAAATACCAAAGGATAACTGTAATTAAATAAAGGGAACAGCTAGAGGTTTCTGGTATAAATAAACTTTTTTCAGAGAGACTCCCTCATTGAGGACAGCTGTCTGTCATATCACCCTGGGCAGCAGAGTTGTCCTTGTGTCCAGCAATCTGTGGGATCAATGAGAATTTGGCTCCCTAAGTTCTCAGAGTTGTGTTTTCCAAGCAAGAAATTCTTGGAACACACTTAGTCTGTCCTGGGAAGTTTAGCTTGTTGGAGAATAGGATGAGTACTCTGCAGTTCAAGAGAAGTGAAAGAAAACAAGCAAAATAGGAAGAGTGAAATGGGCCAAGGCAAATGTAGGAGGGGAGCACACCCAGGTGGGACACTGCCCTTGGGTGATTGGATAGATTTGCTCACCGATGATTAGATAGGAAGATTGAGATGCAAATAGAGGTTGTCTTTCTTTCTCTGCACTACCTACCACAGACAATAGATGGGTGATTGACAAAAGTAGACTTGGAGCTGAAGTAGAAAAGGTACTTGTAGCAAGAATCCTTGAACTCAGAAAGGGTGGAATCTGGAAATGAACAGCAACATCTGGTGCTGAGGGAAAGAAACAGGTGCATCTGCAAATGTGGAGGGACAGAGGAGAATGTGAAGGGAAAGGAGACAGACCAGAGCAGACATAGAGATCTCTTAACAATTAAGTATCTGCTTTGGCTCCCTCGAAGCCTGCAGCCATTCTTTTGGCCACTAGGTGTCGAAAATGCATTGGGTACAGCACATTTTCTGGTTCATTGAGTTGTTTGTACAGGAGCTTAGGGAAACTGGGTTACAGAATGGATGAAGCCAGCAAGGAGGTATTTCTAGGGCCCGTCTGGTTCTCAGAGCTGTGTTCTCCAAGAAAGGAATCTTTGGAGCACACTCAGTCTGTCCTGGGAAGTTTGGCTTGATGGAGAATAGGATGAGTAGGAGTAGGAGAAAAAGATAATTGCACATGACCCAAAATGTGCAGAAGACAGAGAGCTCTTTCTACCAAGATCCATGAGGAAAAGTTGACTGCATTTTCTATTTGTGCATTGTTTTGCAAGTTTGGGAGGTTTTCAGTGTGAAATCTCTGCCTCGAACTTTTTCCTGTTAAAACATTAGCCAACTTGTGTTCTGGAAGTAGAATAGAAAAGTGGAATTTACTCTATAGGATTCTTTCTATAGCCAACGAGTGTATTCCACAGGGTATAGAATATCTGTTAGCTTATGTAATAATAAGCCTTTTGCTGGCAGATCCACATACTTAACTGAGAAATTTATTTATACGGAGGATGTTATTTATAAGAAGGATGTTCCCTAAGGAGTCAGATGAGTATGCGGGAAGGGTCTTTCCCACTACTAGGATGGGAAGATACAGAATCACCACTCACAGGTCTATAGAGCACAACTGAGGAAGAGCCAAGCCTCCTGTTGCCTCTGGGCTGTGTTCACCCTTCGTAATTTTCTCTTTGTCAGCTCATGCCTGGTGCTTAGTAGGACTTGATGATGATGGTCATGCTGAAGCTGCTAGTAATCACAATCAGCATTATTTCCAGTACTCAGAGTTTGTGCAAAAAAGAAGTGAGGGTGTTCAGTGTGTGTGCTGGAAAGAGGGCAGGGACAGGTATGGTGCAGCACCCAAGGGAAAGGCCGAGAGAAACAGTATAGACTGGTGGTTTCTCACACTCACCTGTCCCCAGGTCATGAAAACCTACCACATGTACCATGCGGAGAGCATCAGCGCAGAAAGCAAGCTGAAGGAGGCTGAGAAGCAGGAGGAGAAGCAGTTCAACAAATCAGGAGAGCTCAGCATGAACTTGCTCCGGCATGAGGACCGGCCCCAGCGCCGCAGCTCTGTGAAGAAGATTGAAAAGATGAAGGAGAAGGTGTGTGTTGGCAGGGCTCTCCCAAGTGGGGCATACAAAGGGGAGAATCAGGCACTTAGCTGACAGCTTTAACCCTTCCCCTTTGCATGAGGTCAGTGTCTTGAAGGAAGCAGGCTGGCCACGCTCCTACTAGTGCTGGTTAGGCCTGGCCAGGACTCAGCCACCAGAGAACAGAGGCACTCAGCTGACAGGAATTAATGTATATCAGGGCTTGTTTCAGAAGACAGTTGGGTGGCTGGGGTCAAGGACAAGGGCCAATTGGAACTTGGCATGTCCCAGCAAGAGAGAACAATACTGGGGTGAATCCCTGAGGACCTGCTTTGGGCAGAACTATCCTGGGCACTGCAGACCCAACAGTAACAAGCAAGGCAGTTCTCATTGCTGATTTCTTAGTTTCCTGGTGGGAGACACTGATGGGCTGACAGTCAGATGGTTTATGGAGAGGTGGTGAGAAGGCCTCATGAAGAAAACACTGAGTAGGCAAGGGCATGGGGGACATTTTAGATGAGGTTGTCACTTTAGACCAAGTTCTCAGTTGCTGTTGAGAAGATCGCAGACCTCCCTGTTGTATGGCTCAGCTCTGATACCTGCTCTTTCTCCTTTCAGAGACAGGCCAAGTATTCGGAGAACAAGCTGAAATGCACAAAGGCCCGGAATGACTACCTACTAAATCTGGCAGCCACCAATGCTGCTATCAGCAAATATTACATCCACGATGTCTCCGATCTCATTGATGTGAGTTCCCTGGGGAGCTGAGGACTGAGTGGGGCTGCACCTCATCGGCTGAGGGGTCAGCCTTGGTCTTCTGCTGACAGTGGAGGTGCTCAGGCTTTTTGGAGCCCTGCTGGAGCAGAAGAGCAGGAAGTGTTTGCAGCTAGGCCATGTTACCTTACGGGTTGCTATTTCCATGGGTGGGAGGTGAGCGTTGCCAGATCCTCACAGTTGTCTTGACCAGTCGTGTATTCAGTGAGAACTTCCCACGCTGCCTCTGCATCAGGGCCTTTGCTGAGTGTGGGAGAGTCACACACAACACTCTGGGGACTTCCTAGGATGCCAGTGAAGGGTCCAACCTGGGTCCCCTGGGTCCAACCAGCCAGGCACACAGCATGGGAAAGAAGATGGTGACGCAGGTCAGCCTTGTGTGGGGACGTTGCCATGGGAACCAGGTAGTTTGCAGAGGGTGAACACGGACTCAGCAGTGCCAGTTGTGCGGGGCTCTCAAGAGGACACCTGGGCTTGGAGGAAGGACACTGATGGGGGCAGTGACAGGGAGGGCCTCTACGTCCACTCTGTTGGAGCAGCAGCTCTCTCTCTCACCTCTGCTTCCTGAGCAGATGGGAGATCTTCCCCTGTAGGTGCTTACTTCGTTTAAGGCACTGGTTGCTCTGGACCTGTTATGTGCTGTTCTGGAATTTGGAGGCAGGGCAGCAGTCACTGCTTTTCCTTGGCTGTAGAGGGGACCCATAATCACCATTCAAGCTTTGGGGGAACCTCTGCAGCCAGGCTCTTGAGTATGGAGAACACCAAGGAAGGCTTCCAGAGGAAGGGGCTTAGAAAACAAATGCCAAAAGAGGAACTTTTGTGTTAGAAGAGATACATGTGTGAAATCTTGGAGATAAAAGGGTAGTGGTGAACTTGGGCAGCCAAAAGAAGCTCTACTGTTGCCCAAATCTCAGCCCCCGTCCCCTCCCCTGCATTCTTTGAAGGTTTTGGTGTGGTTTGTGTGGTAGGTAGGCTTCTATAGTGCTCTAAAGTGAGCATAAGTCACTGTCCTGGTTCTCATTCCTACCCCTGCTATTGTTGCCTCTCCCCAAGTGCTGTGACTTGGGCTTTCATGCCAGCCTGGCGCGCACCTTCCGGACCTACCTCTCTGCTGAGTACAACCTGGAAACCTCTCGCCATGAGGGGCTGGATGTCATTGAGAACGCAGTAGATAACCTGGACTCCCGGAGCGACAAGCACACAGTCATGGACATGTGTAACCAGGTCTTCTGCCCCCCGCTGAAGTTTGAGTTCCAGCCCCACATGGGGGATGAGGTAAGTTTTCTGCAGGGGTTCATGCCTGTGGCTGCATCTTAGTTGGGTTTCTGTGGCTGTAACAAAGTGCCTGATGCTGTATTACTTAGAAAGAACAGAGGTTGCTTTGTCTCACAGTTCTGGGAACTGGGAAGATCAAGTGCACAGTGCCAGCATCTGGTAGGAGCCTTCTTGGTCCATCATGTAGTGCTGCAGGGCACCGCATGATCTACAGCAAGTGTGTGAACTTGGGTCTCTTCTCACAAAGTTACCAATACCCATCCTCATGAGCTTTTCTGATTCTGATTGTCTGCCAGAGGCCCCACATCCAAATAGCATTACATATGGCTTTAGGAGTTACATTTCTTACCTGTGAACTTATGGGGGACACATTGACAACACATCTGTGTCCATGCTCTCCCATGTTGGCAGGGCATGGATGGAAGGAGGACAGTAGCCCTGGGTGCATTTCAGAGGCCTAGGAGCTGGTTCTTGGTTCAGAGCTTCTCCAGCAAGGTGCGGGGGGGTGGCAGGGGAACCACCACTGACATCTTTGTTTTGCTGACTCAAGTGCGTCCACTATAGAATCGCAGGATCTCAGCGTCCTAACCATCCCTCCCTAGCATGTGTGGTAGATGCCAAGGCTTGGAACCCAGGCTTGCGCGGAAAGAGTCTGCTCTTCCTGGGGTACTTCACACAGCAGCGGGCTTCACAGCCACTCCAACCACACCTTCGTCAGCGTCCTGCTGCCTCCAGTGCTGTGAGCCCTTGACCTTCCGGACAGCCAAGTTTCCTTCAGGGCCTGTGCTGCTCAGTGTCTTAATGTAGCCGAAAATGACAAGAATAAAACATGGGAAGACATGATATTACTCTCCCCATTACAGTACTATAAGTTCCATAAAATCTCTGATGCAAATAGCTTTCTGAGCTTTTCCAAATCATTCCTCCCTCTGGGATTTGAGGGGACCCAGACCAGCAGGGTAGCAGAGCCAGCTAGCCTTTGCATCCCAGTGGGAGCACAGCTGGCCCATCCACGTATCTGATGATTGGGGGTCGGGGAGGCAGAGGCATCTTAAAAGATGGCATGTGTTGTGCCCTCTGCACAGCTCTGTCCCGCTTCATTTGCAGGTGAGAGACTTTCTGCAGAGCAGTGCCGCTGCTCCTGTCACATTCCTCTGTCCTCGTGTCTGCCCTGTGGTCCATCACCGAGCCCTGAAAATGCTAGTCCAAGGCTGCCACTCGTCACTGTAAAGTTGGGTTGCCCAGTCCGTGTTGGCAAAGCTCTACTTTTTCAGCAGAGCTCTGCTAGTCCTTGTGATCTTAGCTGTGTTCCTAGAAGAGTAAAATCCTAAAGCATACCAGCTAGCCTTGCCTACAGATAGTAGCAGAGTCCTGGACAAAAGCCGTAGGGGAAAATAGTGCAGCCAGTATCCATGGGAGACTGGCTCTAGGAGCGCCTCTGTGGATACCAAAATCTGAAGACGCTCAAGTGCCTTATATAAAATGGCACCATATCTACATATAACCTATACTTCAAATCACGTCTAGATTACTTACAATACCTAATAGTAAGTAGACACTACAACAGTAATTATTGTACTGCATTGTTTAGGGGATAATGAAGAAAAAGTATGTGCATATTCAACATTTTTTCCATCTTTGGTTAGTTGAACGTGTGATGTGGAACCCACAGACAGAGAGCCAACCGTGCTTTCTCAGCCCTTCCCTCCTTCCCCTTACCCATCAACCAGCTATGAGAATGTATAGCCATGCTTGCCATGTTCTTATGGGCAACAGGAACACTCTATTGATCTTTCCTTTCCCTCCTGCCTTCTCTCCTTTCCTCCTTCCCTCCCTTTCTTCCTTCCTTCTTCCTATCATTATTTTTTGTTTTATTGAGGCAAAGTCTTGTTGTTGTATAGCCCAAGTTGACCTCAGCTTTTTCAATGCTGGAATTATAGGAATGAACCACCATACCTGGCTCAGGCACTTGCTTTCTTTCTACAACTTCCTGCCTTGAATTCAATGAATTCGTTTCACTTAATAAAGGTATGCTGTATCTCTTTGTAAGCCCATAATCATGGCACACATAAAGAAGATCATGACTGAGAAGGCACCTCTGGCCACAGCAAGAAGGTGGTCTCTGGAATAGGAAGAGCCTGGCTCCCATCTGGCCATACATAGGCTGAGTGCCCAGGGACAGGTCACCTCACCTTGCTGAGCCTTTATCCTTGGCTATAGAGAGGATGTTAATGGTGGCCTCTGTCCTGGTCCTGGAAGATGAGGAGGCCCTGGGCAGCTGAAGTTATAGCAGGTTTCTTCCTGCAGGTGTGCCAGGTCAGTGCACAGCAGCCGGTGCAGACGGAGCTGCTCATGCGGTACCACCAGCTGCAGTCCAGACTGGCCACACTCAAGATAGAGAATGAGGAGGTGAGTGAAGGTTTCCACATGGCCTGGCTTGTTCTGGGGAGTCCATCTGTGCTGTAGAACAGACATGAAAGGATGGGTCATCTATAAGAGACAAGGATACACTGGACATCTGAGTCCCTTGGTCATCACAGCACGCCCCAAGGTCCTTCTGGCAGAATCAATGCAATAATGGCTTGAGATTGGATATCCCAGCTTCTCACCCAGCCAGCTATATAATCTTGGACCAATGAGTAATTTGTCTTACTTTCCACAAGGCTGTAATGGGGCCAGGGCTCATCTTGGGCCTGCCTGCCTCCTAGGAACTGGTAAATACTGGGAAAAGGACTTTGGAGTGTTAAAGGCTTGAGGAGAATAAGGGGATCTTGGGTACACTGTGTTTCTCCAGGTTAGAAAAACCCTGGATGCCACCATGCAGACCCTGCAGGATATGCTGACTGTCGAGGACTTCGACGTCTCCGATGCCTTCCAGCATAGCCGGTCTACAGAGTCCGTGAAGTCCGCTGCCTCTGAGACCTACATGAGCAAGATCAATATCGCCAAAAGGAGAGCCAACCAGCAGGAAACGGAAATGTTTTATTTTACGGTCAGTGGCATCCTGTGCCCACAGCCCCCACTGTCTGCTGACCCCCTTGCTTGTGACTTTGGGGAGCAGCCTGAGTAAATGAATTGGCAAAACTCTATGGGTTACTTAGACCTGAGACTAAGAACCTTCCAATGTGCTTTTTTTTTTTTTGGTGGGTCATGGGGCTTGAACTCTGGGCCTAGGCGCTGTCCCTGCGTTCTTCAGCTCAAGGCGAGCGCTCTACCGCTTGAGCCACAGTTACTGCTTGAGCCACAGCGCCACTTCCAGTTTTCTAGTGGTTTATTGGAGATAAGAGTCTCATGGTCTTTCCTGCCCAGGCTGGCTTTGAACCATGATCCTCAGGTCTCAGCCTCCTGAATAGCTAGGATTACAGGCGTGAGCCACCAGCACCTGCCCCAACGTGCTTTTAATATTAAGTTGTCTGGCTTGGTTTTCTGAAAAGCAGAAAGTCAATTAATATTGGCATTGATCTTGGGTGATGGTTGCTCAAACTTTGCTACCCTAGAAAGAAACCAAAGAGAGCGTTTTATTCAAATCAGGTACAAAGAAAGTGGCTACCAAGTTCGGCATAAGCTCCAATTGATGTGTACATGTTCATTTTGGATATAAGCTTTGGAAGTAATGTCCTTAGCAACCCAAGCCAGTTGCTTTTGTGTTTCCAGCACCTTCTGTAAGATTCCAGCTGAGTTACTTTCCAAGCAGAGGCAAGCAGAGGCAAGGAGAAGGGAACTGATCCTTTAGTTCAACATGGGCTTATTGAATGTAGAGCATTCAGTAGTAGGGGACCAGTCTTCCATCTGATCCACTTCCCCGTAGGTTATCTGAGCTCTGTTTAAATGCCCTCAGGATTAAAAACTTCCTCCTTCTCAGAGTAGCCCTTTTGTTTGGATGGGGGCTGGCTTCAGATATTATGATGTTTCTCTTTGTCTTTGTTATCTTCAAAAATCTACTACAGTAGGATTTCTGGCCATTGATCTTGGTTCTGTTCTCTGACACACAGAAAACTCAGAGTGGGTGAATTATACATGTCTTTCTGTGGTTGCTGGGAGCTGGGTTTTTATTTCTCCAGGATAAATGCACTGATCTTTCAGTCTTATCTTACAAGCTTTTTTTTTTTTTTAAAGTAACCTCTGTATCCTAGTAACTCTTGAACGTGTTCCATTTGCCAATGTGCCCTCTAAGTGAGACTCCTAGCTGGGTGTGGTAATGTATACCTGTCATCCTAGCACTTGAGAGGCTGAAGCAGGAGGATCTTGAGTTTGAGGCCAGCTTGAGCTACAGACAAAGACTGTCTCCAAAACACAAAGGTGAGACTCTCATTAGTGGTCTGGCTAGCACAGAGGAGTGGATATACATTCCTTCCATACAAGGAACCATACTCTGTTCCTGAGACCTAAGATTACATTCTTTGTTTCTGTTATGTTAAAGCTAATATCAGCCAGCTTTCTTCTTTGTGTACAGCTAGGCCTCCATCCTCTTAAAGGTCCTTTAGGTAACACCTTCAGTAGGGTCTTACATCTGCTTCCATTTAGTTATCTTCCTAATGGATTCCTTTTGTGGTTCTAGATTGTCAGTGTCCTCCATCCAGTTATCCAACCTTCCTATTCTCCTTGCTGATCTTATATCATGAGCAGATTTAAGGAGCATGGCCTTCATGCAATGCTGTCAAAAATATAATTCATGGGCCAGGGCCAATGCCAAAGGCAGGTTGTTGGAAACATGCAAGTAGGCTGCATGTGCTGATTGGCTGATTGGACTGTGCTCATCTAACCTATCAGCACTTACCCTCCTCTGACATCCAACTCTACCTTGTGATACCGAATTCCTATTGAGGCCAATCGTTGGCACATACTGTACTTCTTCTGCCAGTGTTCTTTGATCTTAAGAGAGGAAGCAAAGCTGATCCCCAAAAGTCAGCCCATGCCATTCCTGGCATTCACCACTTCCACATGGAGCCCAGGTGTTCACAAGAGAATGTGTGGACTACAGAGATGAGAGGAGAGAATATGTATATGAATAGTAATTCACTTTTGTAGTAGAAGCAAAGAAATCCGGGCAGCAGAAGGAAAGAAGGGGCTTCAACCTTCTTAAAGTCAAAATAATTCTGTAGTGTGTCTGACTAACAGTTATATTTGACTAAGATGTTATATTTTTCCAGGCCCTGGTGGCTCATGCCTGTAATCCTAGCTACTCAGGAGGCTGAGATCCGAGGATTGCAGTTCAAAACCAGCCTGGGCAGGAAAATCCATGAGACTCTTATCTCCAGTAAACCACCAGAAAACCAGAAGTGGCACTGTGGTTCAAGTGGTAGAGTGCTAGCCTTGAGCTGAAGAGCTGAGGGACAGTATCCAGGCCCAGAGTTCAAGGCCCACGACTGACCAAAAAAAAAAAATTATATTTTCTTCTTTAAAACTTAATTTATCAACTTGGTTGCCTGGCATGACTCCTTACAATTTCTTGTTGTGACATTATTTGGGGTCTTTTAAGGACATAATTTGCCTTTAATGCAAACAATTTTTTTTTTAAATCGTGAGGCTTAAACTCGGCCTGGGTGCTGTCTCTGAGCTCTTCAGTGTAAGACGAGAGCTCTGTCACTTGAGCCACAGTGCCACTTCCAGTTTTCTGGTTGTTTATTGGAGATAAGAGTCTCCTGCCCAGGCTGGCTTTGAACTACGATCCTCATAGCTTAGCTTCCTAAGTAGCTAGGATTACAAGCATGTGCCACGGGCACCCAGCTCATTCTTACAATTTGATGGCATTTTTTTTTTTTTTGTGGGTTACATGGGTGATGTCCATAGACCACAGGACTGCAAGCTTTTAGTTTCTTTAGTCAGTAAATCATCTGCCAAAGCATGAGTTCCAAGTTCATGATTAGAACTTTACCCTAAGGAGACTCAAAAGAATGATGGACAAAAGCCTGCTTACACAATAGTTCTTCTATTTAAAATCAGAGGGTTTTCAGTATGATGGGAGCCATCTTTGAAAAGCTTTGGGTCAGTAGTTACCAAATTGAAACATTCCTGTGATATTTGAGATGCCTGTTTAAAAACACAGGCATTGCTGGGCACCGGTGGCTCACACCTGTAATCCTTGCTACTCAGGAGGCTGAGATCTGAGGTTCAGGGTTCAAAGCCAGCCCAGGCAGGAAACTCGATTGAACTCTTATCTCCAATAAACCATCAGAAAACTGGAAGTGGCACTGTAGCTCAAGTGGTAGAGCACTAGCCTTGAGCTGAAGAGCTGAGGAACAGCACTCAGGCCCAGAGTTCAAGCCTCACAACCGATTAAAAAAAACAAACAAAACAAAAACACAGGCATTTAGACAACCCCCTCCCTGAGATGGGGCTCTAGACATTTACCTGCTTCTGGGTCTCTGTGGTCCCTCCCTAGGTGAGACATGAGGACTTAGACTTTAGGTATTGCAGAATCTGCTAGGTGATGAAGTTTCCAGTCAATCATCTGCCCACACTTGGAGACATACCATGAGTCTACTTATTTTACACCAAGGACCATGCGGAAGCCTGGAAATGGTCAATATTCTGTCCTAGGTCACAGTGAGGAGTTACAGTCCTGGAAGCATGCTAATGCTTGTACAGTTTGTTCCCTAAGGTCATGAGGAGGCCCGTGTGTGTGTGTGTGTGTGTGTGTGTGTGTGTGTGTGTGTGTGTGTGTGTGTGTGTGTGTGTGTGTGTGTGTGTGTGTGTACTATCAGGGGTTCTACAAACATCCAGGAAGTGTCTCTTCCAACAAGCAAGGATCCAGATCTCCAGAGATAAGAAGAAACCGGGAAGAGGAGAGAAGAACATAGCTATGAAGAACATAGCTATCCAGCCAACTGGTCATGCCAGAATACCACTGGGATTGGCAATGTGAACAACCCCAATTTAATTTGTGTGTACATCAGCTCCCTTCTCCAAGAGCCTTTCCTTGCGTCTGTCTTGCACAGGAAGAGGGTAGCATTGGAGACATTACTCCGCAGGGGTCCTGGTCTTCCACAGCTGGCATCACTCTGACCCTGTGAGCGCACACTGACCCAAGTAGTTCATTGGATTTCTGGGTGAGAGATTGTCTGGTAGATTGGAGCTGTCATACCTACCTCCTTACCTTCCTTCTCAGAGCTTCTGCAGTTGCCATGTTCTTTTGCTGGCCAAGCCATTCTCCTCCCTCTCAGAAGCTCAAATGCAGTGATTTCTGCCCATCTGCCTAGATTCCCAGTCCACAGTTTGTGTTTAGTTGGCGTTTTGCTTACTTTGTGGTTCATAGGGGCCGTCTTGGTCTCTGTGTCTCATGAGGCAGGGGATCAGTTCAATTCTCAGCCCAAAGTATTTCACAGAGCCACAAAGGCATCCCCATTAGGGCTTTGGATGGGACTGGGGAGCAGAAGCTGTTTTGTTCTCCAGATGGCACTCCATCCCTCGGTGCTACTCTGCAGTGCTACTCTGCAGTGCTCTGAGCTTGGCAAGAACTGTGACCTAGCTAGGACCCGGCCTGGCCTGCTATTGGCTTTCCGTGGCAACTGGGCAAAATCATTTTCTTGTGCCTGCGTCCTTGTCTCATTCATACAAAGAGAAAAACCTATTACCCAGTACAGGCTTGAGCTTCTTTTAACTGTAACATCTCTTAGCAGCCTTGAAGAGCTCTTACTCCTTCAGAGCTAGGCAGATGAAAGAAAGACTTGTTTCATGGCTTCTCCCTGGCAGCTCTCAGGCCTCAGCTTCAGGGGCCCCTGGACAGTCCTCATCTTTATTGCTATTGGCCCAGAAGCACAGCTGAGCTTTGATGACTAAAGAAGTGTTTTGCTTTGTATGGAGGGCTGCCCTCACCTGACAAAAGCTGCCTTCATTGCTGCCATTACCCTAGGTTTCCTTTGTGTTTCTGAACCCTACCTGAAAGGCCTGGAGTCCCCCCAAGGACTAAGTAGCCACTCAACAGAGCTTGGAGCAGGCACAAAGGCCTCTATTTCCCATTCCAGGTCCCTGAGTCTGGCCTGATTTTCCTTTGGCCTCCCCACCACAGAGGTCAATTCTGGAAGCAGGGACCTCATTGCTAGGGAGGTGGTACTACAAAAAAAGTTACATTTTTACATTTCTACATTTGAAGTGAAAGTAAAACATTCATTAAAGTGAAAGCATCTAACAATTAGGTTAATGATTTAGCCAAATAAAAATGACAAATGCATCCACATGTCACTATTTTACTGCAAGTATGACTGTTTGGTGCCTCGTGTCTTACAGAAATTTAAAGAATATGTGAATGGCAGTAACCTCATCACCAAGCTACAGGCCAAGCATGACTTACTCAAACAGACTCTTGGTGAAGGTGAGTCTGGGAGTGGGGGTCCCTGGTGGGGTTGTGTTTTCCACTGGATCTTCTGATGGCCTTGAATCTGTTGAGCAGCTTAAACTTATGAGCTTGAATTGCTTAAACTGTGCACTTAGCAACGTGAGGCCTGGTGGTGCTGGACCTACCTGCCACACTGGGAATGTTGAGAAAATTTATTGAGTGCAGAGCTGAGATGGAGGCAGTCTAGCTGCAGAAAATCAAAGGCAACCAACCACAAGCCTTAGTTTAGTCTGGGAAGTATCCGAAGCCAAGTGATAGACATGCTGTGATAGGCAGGTACTCATATCCAAGGGCCCTGGCCTAGGTCGATGTTGTTGAGCAGATAAAGGAGTACTAACAGAGTGCCTGGCCAGTGTTCAAGGCCCAGAAAAGGAAAATCCATACATGTAAGGTAGGACTTAGTCCTTAAAGGAGCAGGGGACTAAGCTTCAAGGTGGAGAAGAGCTAATTGCAATGACCTTTTCCTTCATCTTTGTCTCTGCCTACCCATCCTGACATGTCATCATTGGACCACATTTGGTAGGATGGGGGACTATAGAGAGGTGTAGATAATGGACAGAAGTAAAACAGGAAGAATAGTGCAAGGGAAAGGAAGCGACAGAAAGTCCAAGAACTGCTCTAAGTAAATGTATGCATACATATATACATATATATGTATGTATGTGTACATATATGTATATATGTATATTTTGGAGGGAGGACAAGTATGACAAGGCAACTTCCAAAACTAGTAGTAAGAGTTGGTTTTTATGGTGCTAAGGCTGGGGGTTGTTTCTCATGAACAATGTAATGAAAGCCAAGCCCTATGAGCTTGTGGCTACTGTGTATTTTAAAACCAGATTATCTGGGTTTAGAAAACTAGATGCTCTTTAAAAAAATAAAATCTAGATGAATCCTTGGCCTGGGAGGAAAACGTATTCTGTCCAGCTCCTCCCTGAGCATTATCAGATGCAACCTCTCATTTCTGTCCTTGCCTGGATGGCCTTAATGAAATAATAATATTTTGGTTGGCATAACTCCTAGTTTTGGGTCCTCCAATTTCATTTAGCCTTTAACCATGTCTTGCTCAGAGATGTGATTAATCCGATCTCCCTTCTCTGCGGTTTGAGCTGCTTATTAACAGCAAAAGTTCCAGGAAAAAAATATAGCTTCCCAAGTATCAGAGCATTTAAGAGCCACCTAGGGTCTTCATAATGCCATTTTTCTAGTGAGATGGATATGGAAAAGCCCAGTGTACTGCCTTTGACAAATGGAATGGGTCTTATTAGACTAGACAGTTTGAGAGAAGTCTCTTAATGAGCCTTTTATTTTAAAACAATTTTAGATATGCAGAGAAATTGGAAAGATACTACAAAGTTCCCATATTCTCATTACCCAGTTTTCTCTGAATTAACATCTTATATTCTATGTGTATTTGTCATAATTAGTGAGCATTTTTAGTGATACATTTTTATTATTAGCTAACGTGAATAAATTACTGGGTGATTAGAGTCTCACAGATTTTTTCTGGCCCTTCTTGGGCTGACTTCTAATCTTGATCCTCAGACCTCAGCCTTCTGAATAGCTAAAATGACAGGTGTGATTTTTCTGGTGCCTAGCTTCATTATTCATTTTTATACATCTAGTACTCAATGAAGGTATTTTATGGGTTCTCAGGGCTAATATCCTTTATATGCTTTATGTCTTCTGAGAGCTATTTTCTATTAGGAGGGATGAAGTAGAAACTATATAAATGAACAAAGCAATGTAGAACAAAGCAATACTCAAACTACCTTATATTTAAAAAGACTTTAAAAATGAAATAAAGTATCATGTTTAGTGCATCCATTTCTCTAAAGTGTTCTTTTGATAGCATAACTCAAGGAAAGTACAAGTTAAAGGAAGCACGAGATCTTTCAGATCACCTATATTTACAAGTGAGTTTTTTAATGCACCTAGAACATCTTGAACCTAGAACACACTGCTAGGTGCCCAACAATATGATATGCTACTGGCATACCTTGGGAGTAAGAGTTAACATTCTATTCTGCCCTTGTCTATTGCCATACAATTTCATTGGTTAGAGATTTCTCAGTTTATCATCACCTCTGAGTCTTGTATCTATGACTTTTTATTGCTCTGGGGTCTGAGTATTCTGTAAGCTCCAGGCTTTCACCCAGGATGTGGGTGTTTTTCAATTTACTGAAATCCCTCAAGGATGAATAGTGCATTGTCTATGAAAGGGATGGAGCTTCACTTTTTTAGGCCAAAAGCCACTAGGACCAGAAAATCTGTAGGAAATGACTGATGTGGCAATTATTTTACATATATATGTGTATATATATATATATATATATATATATATATATATGTATGTATGTATATATACCTCAAGTGTTCTGATAAGGTTAAGAACAGGGCTTCAAAGCAATTCTCACAAGGGCCTGGGAAGATGGCTCAGTGATAGAGCGCTTGCCTTGCATGCATGAGGCCCTGGGTTTAATTCCTCAGCACCACATAAGCAGAAAAAAAAAAAAAGCCAGAAGTGGCACTGTGGCTCCGCATCACATAAACAGAAAAAAAAAAAAAAAGCCGGAAGTGGCACTGTGGCTCAAGTGGTAGAGCGCTAGCCTTGAGCTGAAAAGCTGAGGGACAGTACCCAGGCCTAGAGTTCAGGTCCACGATCGGACCCAAAAAATAAATAAGTAAATAAAATAATTCTCACGAGTTTTAGATTTTGAGATCCCATGTTCCTATAGAATAGGTGATGGGTGCTAGAGAGCAGGAGGCTGAGAGGTAGCATGTGAGATTCCTTGTCAGAGAGGCTGCCTTGTGTGCTGGTGTTCCATTCCATGCCCTAAAGCCTTTGTTTCCATCCTCCTCTTCTTTCCTTCCTGTTCCTCTCAGTCCTGTGAACAGATGACGTCCCACCTTCACAGCGTAGCAAATACACCCACCACCAGTAACAGGCATTTATGGTCTTTACCAAGTGTGACATGTTGAACACTGATTATGTGTGCTATAGTTTTACATGACAGTGGGTAAGACTGCACCATCACCACCACAAACATGACAACTGCATCACTACAATGACATTATGGGAGCTGAGTGATAGGCATTTTTCAGCTCCATTATTGTCTTATGGGAACCACAGTATGTATAGGGTCCAACTTGGACTAAAATGTCATTTTGCAGCCCATAACCATACTGAGTAAAGAATTAATTTGTAGCTAGTGGCTCACACCTGTAATCCTAGCTACTCAGGAGGCTGGGACCTGAGGATCACGATTCAAAGCCAGCCTGGGCAGGAAAGTCCATGAGACTCTTATTTCCAATAAACCACTAGAAAACCAGAAGTGGTGCTGAGGCTCAAGTGGTAGACCGCTCACCTTGAGCTGAAGAGCTGAGGGATAGCGCCTAAGCCCAGAGATCAAGTCCCATGACCGACCCAAAAAAAAAAAAAAAAAAAAGATAGAAAGAAAAAAAGAATTAATTTGTGAGAAGTGTCATGAATGACAAGTTTCGGCTGATATATAGAGCCATTATTATATGTGAGGGGCATTGGGACAGAAGGTCTGCTATCAGAGGTGGTGTCTCAGCAGAGCAGGAAAGCCAAGAAGGTGTCAGCCATGTGAGAAAAGAAAAGGGAAAGAGAGCAACATCTGCAGTCAAGAAAGGATATGGTAAGTTAGAACTAATGAATGGCAGTGCTACTGGGCCACAGCAAGTTCACGGAAGAGTGGGTGGTTTGGGAATCAAGAGGAAGTGGAACAGGAAGTGGCTTCTGGAATCTACTGTCTGTAGAGACAGTCAGCTGTTGCTCTGAGAGGAAGTGTGGATTTCATAGCCATTGTTTCCTCTGAAACAATCCCAGGCCATTCTTGGACCCCTTTCATGGGATGCTATTGGCTCTACAGGAGGTCTTGGGTGTGTGTGAAAACTTAACCCAAATTGGTGTCTCCTAGGACTTTACTGCAGAATCTAGACAAGCAAATTAAGTAGAAAAATATTGCCTGTTACACCTAACTTCCCCACTTTTTATGCTCTTTGCTGTTTGGTTCAAGTTCAACCCACTGCAGTTACATTGTAACTACTGGTAACTTTGGTTAAGAATTAAGGAACTGTGTGCCAGTTCATTCCAAGTTCAGGTTATTCTCTTCCCCTTCTCATTTCTTTCTCTCTGCAGCCCCATGCTGCCTTGTTTTCAATAGGGGGAAAAGTGCTTGCTCTTTATGCATGTGTGTGCCAGTCCTGGGGCTTAAATTCAAGGGGCCTGAGCACTGTCCCTGAGATTTTTTGCTCCAGGCTAGCACTCTGTCACTTCAACCATAGTTCTGAGTAGCAGTTCATGCTCTTAGAAGTCCCTTGGGCTAGAGGCTTTGCTCACATGGCACAGTGACAGCCAAACAAGCTTCTTGAGTGAAGGAAAAGTCTTGAGTTAAAATCCTTGTACCTCCAAAGGAAAATTTTAAAAAGATATTCCTTCTTAAGGAGTGTAGGGAGAGTGATAGTGGGGATGAGTTTGATAAGGATGCATTATATGTATGTATTGAACTATCAAGAAACCATCCTTATACAATTAATGTATGCTACAGATAACCATCCATCCATCTGTCCATCATCTATACATACATACATGCATACATACATACATACATATATACATACATACATGCAAGTCCCATCTTGCCAGTGCTGTGTAGGATTTTAGAATCTAGAGCTATACTGCTTAGAGAAGAAGTCACTGGCCACATGTGACTACTAAACACTCTAAACATTGATTAAGATGTCAGAAACATTCATTGAAATGAATAAAACAAACCTGAGGTTTGGAAGAGCTAGTATACCCAGAATATAAAATACTTTACTAGATTTTTATATTGATGCATATTGAAATGATACTATTTGTTGATATGTTAGGTCAGATATTAAAAAATTAACCTCATTTGTTTCTCTTTATTTTTTTATAATACAGCTACTAAAAATTATGGCTTACAGTATAGTTCTGTTGGCCAGCACTGGCCTAGAGGTTCTCAGCTAGAGGAAGTTATTTCCTTCTGGGGGCAGAGAACATACATGATGGTATTTTAAATATGCAGTAATGGAACAACAAATATTCATTCAACAAATATTTTTGAATACATACTTTATGCCAGGAAATATGTATTTTATAATATATACAAAATATTATGTAATACATAAAAATATTATATGTATTACGCAGTTTTAAGAACAGATGTGAACAGATGTTCTATGTTCATGGAGATAGGCTGGTAGTAGACAAGTAAAATCAATGATAATCAGGGACATGAAGTAGGGAGAGGTGCTGAAAGGGAACTAGTGTCCACTTCAGGGGGATACAGCTATGGAGCCAGCTTTTCAGCTGAAACCCCAAAGATAAGCAGGAGCCAGACCTACAAGCATCAGGCAGGAGAACCCCAGGCAGCAAATGCAGAGGCTTCTTTGAAGAATGTGCAAAAGACAAGTAGAGCATTGTATTCCAAGAGAGTGCGGTCCACACCAATGGAGTGGTCAGAGTAATAGAATAGATCTCAAAGGGTTCTGGAAGACATTATGAGGCTTGCATTTTATCTTGTGTGTGGGAAGGCATGTTAAACAAGAGGATTTATAGGGTATGATTCAGAGTTCAAAAGTACTTCTCTGACTGCTGAGTTATGGCTGGAGTGTAGCAGAATAGGAAATCCAGTTAAAAGAAAAAGAAAAAGAGATGATGGTGACCTGGACCAAGATGTTGAGAAGGAGAGAAGTGGGTGGATTTAAGAAGAAAAACGTTTTTAAGGCAAGTGGTGGCCTGTTTACTGAAAGGATGAAGACTTGGTTAGGAGTAGGTTTGGGGCAGGCAAACAGAGTACTTTGCAGAGCACTGAGGTGTGAGAGACTAAGAGAGCAATTGGTAAAGAAACTGTGGACATCCATACAGTGGCTATCAGTAAATCACAAAAAAGAGTGGCTCACACCTGTAATCCTAGATTACAAATCTCAGAAGGCTGAGATCTGAGCACTTGAGGTTCAAAGCCAGAGGGGACAGACTGATATCGCTAATTAGCCAGCCAAAAAGCCCAAACTGGAGGTAGAGGTAGATAGCGGTGGGGCTCAAGAAGCGATCACCAGTTGTGATTGCCAGTGCAAAGCTTGAAGTACAAAATCTAGAACCAGCAACCTGCCAAAAACCAAACGAACGAGTTACAAAAATCATGCTATCTGGATGAATTTCAGAAATGCCTTAAGTGAAGGAAACCAGATGCAGAAAACTTCACATTAAATAATTTTGTGTATAATAATGTGCAGGCAAACTTTCCCAGTGGTTCCCGGGGGCAGGAGGTGGGAACAGAGTGACTCTAAGTGGGTACAAAGAATCTTCGTTTGGTTTTTGTTTTGAGGAAATGATGAATGTTCTCTGGAGGTAAAAAAAAAAAAAAAACAACAATTAAACATCATATACTTTTCCCCCAGGAGAGAGAGCAGAATGCGGCACCACCAGGTGAGAGCTGGAGGACCTTGTTTTCTTGTTCCAGCTGCCTGAGGTCTGAGTGGGATGAGGTGGGGGAGAGGAGGGTAACGGGTTACCAGACATTGGGGGGGTGGGGAGGCTCACTGTTGCATGCCCTGTCCTGGAATTAGACTGATATAGCTGCACCCCCAGGCTGCACATGGGGGTCCTTTGCTGAGGATCAGTCATGCATTTCACCCTTGCACTGTGGGCTCGGTGGGAGGGTAAAATGGAGTCTGGGATGGCCAGTGGAGGGTAGAGGCTGTAGGGTGGCTGTTTCCCTGTCTCCTGTCTGTTCCATGGCTGCTGAGCACACTGCCTAGGCTCGGTGGCCGGGCCCACCCTGGTCCCCTCTGCCAAGGCCTTGGGGTTAGCTGGTATTGCGCACAGCTAGGCACACGCATGCGCGTACACACAGTTGTGTGCCTGAACACCTGCACTGCCCACAAACCCGCTCTGCCCACACCCTAGCTTGGATGAGCTGACAGAGAAAGTTAACACACGGGTACTTCTGCTTCCTCCCTCTCCAGCTTGTTCCGCATTTATTTCCCTTTGTGCTTTTCCCTGAGCAGACCAGAACCAGTGAGCACTTTCCATTGAGCCGCTGAGAGCGGCAAGCTGGCTTGCCCCTCCTTTCAGAGAGTCTGGCTCTTGAAGCAGGTGTCATCACCCAGGGATGATGTCCCAGCCAGAGAGCTCTGATGCTGCCCCATGCAAATCCCGCTGCTGGACCCGAGGCCAGCAAGCCCGCTGCACTTTGCCCTGGGTGGCTGTTCAGAGCTACTTTTTGCCTCACTCTCTGAGCCCAGGGGACAACGTTCTTTCCTTCCCCACAAATGCTTTCCAAGAGCCCAATATCCTAGAAAGCTGTCCTACTTGGCAAAAAAAAAAAAAGCAATGTAAAACCCTTAATTCTCCCCAGCTTCTTGGGAAGGGAGCGAGTGAGGCAGAGGCTTTCTGTGTGCTGGGTCCAGAGACACAGCCTCTCCAGAAATGCAGCCTGTGCACTGTTCCTCTGGGACAAGGTAACAGGGAACATGAGGGTGATTCACGCCAGGCGAGGGACTTCCCACAGAGGCAGCAGCAGATGTGCAGGGTCACGTTCGAAGAACCTTTCAGAAACAAACTTGTTATTGTTCCTTTTTCTCTGGCAAGAAGATGTTGTTATAGTCCCTCCAAACAAGAGAAGCCATATTTTACACTGAAGGCTGTAAATAGCAAAAACAGATGGGGGACCAATGGAGCCATTGCTCCCAGGAAGCAGAGCACGAGGAGATGGTTCAAGCAAAATCTGGGAGAAGAGATCTGTGATCCATCCCCTTGGGTGGGCTTCAGGCTGTATCTCAGGGAAAAGCTAAGGACAGACTTTTCTTTTTTTAAAATAAACCCCTCTGAGATGTGTCTTCCACACCCTCTTTGACCTAGGGCCTGGGAAAGCCGTGCTCAGATTAGTAGACCTCCCACTTAGATACCCTCCACTAAACTGAGGACCTTGTCCAATGCTCTCTTGGCTCCTGGCCAAGTTCACAAGCAACTTTGTTACTAAAGTAAAAGCTTCCCTTTACCTCCAAAAGTCATTCTTTAAAGAGTGGACCTTGGAAGTGGTTTGAAAATGAACCTGCGAGGCTTTGAGTGATATGTCTCTATACTCTAGCCCTCTGTGTCTTCCACAGACTCACACATGGTGAGCTCATCTGAGACACATTATTTGGGCAAATTCCCTCAGACAAGTTGCTCTTGACCTTATATGGATGGACTGGTTTTTGCTTATGGTCTGCAACATGTTATATTTTCTCATGCTTAAAGACCTTATCTTTAAATGGCCCAAATTCTTAATAGCCCTGAAATTTAGGCTGGCCAGATGTGAAAATACACTTAAAAAGTATATTGTCATCTGGGAGTGGTAGGGTACTCTTATAATCCCAGCATTTAGGAAGCAGAAGCAGGAAGATCAAGTCTAGCTTAGACCCTGTCTCAAAACACCAAAGGCTAGGGGTATAGGTTAGAGATAGAATGCTTATGTAACATATGCAAGTACAAGACCCTGGGTTTACTCCCCAGCACCATGAAAAAGGAAAAGGATATTGTAAATGGACAAGCAAGATGAAAAGAAGTTTTATTAATCTTCAAAGGAACTTTGGCTTTCCTGACTTAGGTTGACATAGTCCTATGGTCTAGATTAGAGGTAAAATCATTTGACAGTGTGTCCAGATGTGATAAAGTTCACACCCAGGCACAGCCTCCAAGAGCTGGACTGCCACTCGGCTCAATGGTGTTGCCACCATTTTGTCTATTGATACCACATTGATTGGGTTGCCCAAGGAAATTCTTAATCACCATTCTTTTTGACAGACTGATTTTGAGTCAACTCCTGTGTTGTCAACATATGCTGATTTTCATTTGTCTGGGTTGAAAGACAGAAAAGGGACATTGGTCTCTGGTTTCTCTTTCTTCCTCTCTGTGGCTTTCTCTGTTCCTGTTTTCCCTGCCTCTCTCTTTCTTTCCTTTTTTTGCTCTGCAACTGAGCAGCAGAAGAGATGGAAGGCTTAGGCTGCCCCACTTTCCTTGGCTGAGCTGTCCCCCTGCTCCCCACTTTGTGCCCCACCCAGCATTTCAGTAAGTCGATACAGATTTGATATCATGCAAAGAGTTGGGATAGCTACGTTTCCTTGTCAGATTCCAGTCGGTGCCAGAGTATGGTGAAAGAAAGAAATCCTAGTGGGATTAAAACTGCCCTTTGCTTTCTGGATTGGGCAGGAAAAAAAATGAGAAAGCATATTCTATTATTGATTTCACTTTTTAAAAAAGTTTAAGCCCCAGAAATTTCTTAGGACTTAAACCCTCTAGTCGGGCATTCTAGGGATTTTGATACTGATTGTCTATTGTCTACACTAAGTCTGTATTTGTGCCAGCCATATGAATTTACCAGATAATTCGGTGGTACTGCTGGCTGTTTTATGATGAAGTCACTTTCTCAGCTATACACTATACACTCACACTGGGACTTTGAGTAGGAAGAGCTGCCTGCTCCCCAGCTTCTATTATATTTTATATCTGTGACCCCAGAACTGTTTCTTAATCTCACGTAGCCTCATTTGCCTTAAGTGTAAAATGGGTTTAGTAATTGCTTTCTACTGCAATACACTTGTTATAAGGTTATACAATGTGAGATAAAGAAATGATCTGGAAATGTCAAACATTAGGAAAACCAGGTGACAATGTTCGCTAGTGTCCTCAAATTATTCCATGTTACCAAACTTAAAAAACATATATGCCCTTCAGTCACATTTTTGGCTTTTGCATTTGGAAATTCAAAAGCAGATCCATTGTATGAAATCTCACCTCTCTGTTACATATTGACATCTTCACAGAATAACTAGTTTTTGAAAAAGAAATGACATGGACTTAGCTAACCAAATTGTTATAGAGCCAATATGGGCTGGATATAATCTTGCCTGTTGTTTCTCCTCAAAATTTTTGGTCTGTGCTGTTATTTTGGTTCCATTGTTTGGACGGCATGCTATTTGGACTCAACTATGTCTTTACCAATGCATGGCCTTGGAGCTGGCAGCATTTGCTCAACACTCAGACACCTAGAAGAGGTTAGCTGGGGTTCCCTATGTGGCTGGGTTGGTGAAAGAGACATGTTCAACGAGCCCCCCAAAAAAGCCCTCAGTTATCATGAGCAACTCCATGGTCCATAAGATTCTTGTGCAGTCACAGAGATCAGTCAAGACTAGGGGGACAGGTCTTTGCTTGTCACATGTAGATATTATTTGTGCCTAGCTGAGTCTCCCTTGTTGCTCCCCAGATTTTGAACCACACCATTTGAAAATGAACAGCTTCTCTTGGTTAGGGAACCTCCTACTAATTTTTAAAAGCCCTGTGTTCCAAAGGCTGGCAGAACTAAGTTAGGCCACTTTGGGTGATGGAATGAGCAAATAAGCCAACACAGGCATATGCATGGTGAAGAATTCTGGAAATGGGTCTAGTGTTTGTGGGTGTTTCATTGTTCCTGGTGAACTGTGGTGTAGTTTTCCTTCCCTGTGGGCAAGAGTGGAACATGGGGAATGGAGATCCTAAAGTAAAGCAAGACACTTTCACCCTGACCCCATCACAAAGATTGATGGGATAGCTGAATCTTCATCTAGAAATGACAAGGTATACCAAGGCTTCATGACTGTGTGACCCAGTAGGAAACACCCTGGCCTTGAGCCAAGATGACTACATTTCAGACCTGTCCATTCTGATCTTTGGGCCTCTGTTTCTGCCAGTAAAATAGGGCTCTAGACACAGAGTTGATAATATGTTAATGTGGAAAGGGAGTTGAAAGTTTTTAAGCTGACTAAAGAACAAAGTATCACCATCCTGAGTCACGCAGGGACACCAGAAATGCTGCTGCCATCTCTCACTGCCACTTTCCTCATCTCTGGAGTGAGAGTAATTGTCTGTCTCTCAGATCGGTGAAATAGTGAGTAGTCAAGTCCATTTGGAATGCCAAGAGGCATTAGGAAGATGAGAGCCCTGCAACATTGGGAGCTGAGACTTAGTGATGGATTTCAGCCAAAATAATGAAAATCAAACTTTTGAATCATTTGAAAGTGTCTTGCTTTCTTAAACTCCTGATGACATCTTTCTTCACTGATCCCCACCCTCCATCTGGTCAGCTCTGCAGGATGACAATCTCTGATTGGAGTTTTAGTGGTTTCTTGGACACATACTATCCCCTCTGCCCATAATTTACAATGCATTTGTGTTATGTGAATGTTGATCCTGCTTGGCATTATGGGTAAATTTAGATCTCCTAAAACATCCAAAGGCCTTCAGATGGAACATTGGAACCAATGTGTTGGGGGGCCAGGGACTTCCATTTGCATTTTGTGTTCTCAATTATGGGTTTTAAGAGCATCTTCCTCAGTTGTGTGTTTATGTTGGTTGCTTTCTTGATTTCTTTTGTTCCATTTTCCCCTAGGCCCCCCTGTCTTCCCCCTAAACCACAGAAAATGAGGAGACCTAGGCCTCTTTCAGTGTATAGCCATAAACTCTTTAACGGCAGTATGGAAACGTTCATTAAGGTACTTTCTGGGGAGCCGTGGAGTCCGCAAATGCACCCAATGTAATGGCAGCCTCTCTTCTCCTCAGTTGACAGCCCTGTCCCAACAATAACCTGCATCCAGCCAGGCCCTCTTGAGCTAGCTCCTCACTAAACTTGGTGTTAACTTCAGTGAGAACTTTTCCTCAGAGCTGCTTTGCCCCAGGCCAGTTGCTCCTAAGTCCTGTCCATGATTCTCAGCCCTAGGGGGAAAGATATGGTCAGTGAGGTCCAGGTGAGCTTGAACCATCAGTGTAGTAGTCCCAGCCAGCCATCTTCATCACTACAGTCCTAGTACTAGAGTAGTACGAGTCTAGTGCTACAGTCCTAGCACTAGAGGGGAAGTTGAGGAATCCCATCATGTAATGGCATACACTCATCATCCAAGATTGAGAGTAACACAGAGGAAAACCTGCAGGTCGACTGTTTCTATACAAGTGATTTTTTGTTTAGTTGAGCAAATTCTTGCAAATGAAACATGTGCAGTTTGTGTGAAAAAAGTTCCTCCTTTTGGATTTTTCTTCTTGTTAATTGATTTGGGAGCTGGCAGAATAGGATTCTAGGTTAACCCTTTATACCAAACCTAAACTAAAACAAAACAAAAAAAACCAGTAGGGTTTCAGCTTGCTAAGTTTCTCTTTTCTCGTTTCCTTGATGTGAAGGGTACAAAATCAAGCATCCCAGAGAGAATGGTTAAAGACTTAGATAGTGATGGAGTTGCCAAGAAAAGCAAGTGGGGGATACCTGAGGAATGGAGGTGCATTTTTAATATTACTTAAGGAGGTGGAAGAGGGAGACCTTGCCACTTATTTAAGGATCTTCATCAGCCAATGAAGATACTTTTTGCGGGAAAATAAAAGGGTCGTGTCAATCAGGAGAAAAGTCAAGGCTCTAAGGCATTACTGATGATTTGGAATCATGAGGCTGCCCCTGCTCCAGCTCTCTATCCCTCATCCTCAGACAGGGTGCATTACAGAACTTGCAAGACAGGAGAGAACAAATATAGGCATCAGTCTAAGGCATGGAAGAAGACAGGCAGGACTGTCTGCATCTCAGGACTGTCTCTGTCTATGGATTGAATGGTGGGGACAGACTGAGGGAGAGAGCTAATGAGGTAGCTTGAGTGGTAGAGCATTCGTCTAGAATATACAAGATTTTGAGTTTAAACTCCAGTACCACCAAGAGAAAAAATGGGGAGGAAGGAGAGTAGAAGAGTAGGACTTAAGTTGGAATTGTCCAGGGGCAGGAACAACAAGGGCTATTTTAGGGTGCCTAAGTGGACAACATAAAGGATTTCTAAAAGGAGGAGTCCCTCAGGGCACATCAGGAAAGAGGAACCATATGACCAAAACCCATGGCATAGAGTGGTGTCAAAGGATCCCTCTCTTTGTTCACCTTCCCTTCCCTCTCATTCAACACAGCCTAGAAAGGACCAACTGTTTGCCCTCACAGAGCTCAGCGCAGAGCCTGGGATGTTTTCAGCATAAAAAAAAATGGAGAGATTAGAGCAAGATCTCAGAGAGTACAGAGCAAGAAGAGCTGGGTGTGGTGCACCTGTAGCCTGGTGAGAGAAAGGAGAAGAATGGAGAGAAGAATGCGACAGAGGGAACCCTGAGGAGAGGGGCAGAAAGATCCAGAGCTCCCAGACAGGGATGCCTTCCCCAATTTGCTTTGGGCTTTGGAAATGGGTCAGGGCACTTGGACATAATCAGCTCTTACCTAATAATATTTTATAGTTAGGTGTTGACTTGACAAATTAATGTGTAACTATAATTTGCCTTTATACCTCCTGAGTGGTACATCAGAGCTTACTCAACTATATGCATGTTTGCCCTTTGCAAGGTAGTTAGCTAGGCAAGCCACCTTTGTATTTGAAGTATTATCCCACTGCTGCAATGGCTGTTTGCCAATCTTTAGAACCCATTGCATGGCCTTTTTCTTTTTTGCCAGCCCTGGAGCTTGAATTTAGGGCCTGGGCTCTGTTTCTGAGCTGCTTTTGCTCAAGGCTAGCACTCTACCACTTGAGCCATCGCTCCACTTTTGGCTTGTTGTTGTTGTTGTTAATGTGGTACTAAGGAATCCAACCCAGGGCTTTGTGCATGCTTGGCAAGCACTCTACCACCAAGCCACATTCCCAGCCCAAATGCATGGCCTTTCTTATTGGTGTCAAAACTTTGTGGACACTTTGGGTTTTAGAGTACAAAGCTCCATTTGAAGCTTAGCTTTGTGACCCCACTAGTGGTACAAAATGGCAAGAGGGAGCTTGCTATGGTGGTTCTGGAAAGTCCCCAGAGATGGGCAACCCACTTACCCGAGCAATGACAGCCTCGTTGGAATGTGTGCAAAGCCTCCACTGGGGAAAAAGTAGTCATGTGGGAAAGGAAGGTGTATTTGTTAAGTCTGATTGCATCTCTTTATAGTCACACTCTACGTATGTCACCTACCATCAGCAAAGTTCAGCACTTGAACTGTGTACCTACTGTGAACTGGTTCATCAAAGCTACATGCAGCACAGTTTTACTCTGAAGGATAATTAACTCTCAGAGAATGAAGAGCAGCATAGCAATTGTAATTTTCTTGCTCTCTGAAAGTCATTCAAGTAAGAGTCCTTAACTTTTGAAAAATGACACCTGTGGAAAGACTTTCAGTCCAATCATACCACTGGCACGCCATGATCTGGGAAGCAGCCCAAAGTTAACTATAAGTGTTGTGAGAATTTCTTGGGCTCTGCCTTGATCAGCCCTTACAAAATTCTTGTTTTTCATGTTTTTCTCCTCTTAGGCAGAAAGAGCCACCATTTTGATTATGAAGGGCTGGTGTGCACTCTCCACCTTGCCTCTATACAAAGGGAGTGGTAAGGGCTGGGAAGGTGGCTCAGTGGTAGAGCGCTTGCCTTGCATGCATGAGGCCCTGGGTTCAATTCCTCAGCACCACACAAGCAAAACGAAAAAAAAGCGGGAAGTGGTGCTGTGGCTCAAGTGGTAGAGCGCTAACCTTGAGCTGAAAGGCTGAGGGACAGCGCCCAGGCCTAGAGTTCAGGCCCCACGACTGGACCTCCCCCCCCCAAAAAAAAAGGAGTGGTAATTAATCTACCTCATGAATGTGGGATGAGGATAGAATGAACAAATGTATGTTAGAGAGCAGTGGCCAGCCCATAGTAAGTCTGGGCAGTTGTCATTGTTATTAATTTAGGACATTGCTTCTAGAGTCCCACTGCACCAGGCTGTTGGTCAGTCTGGGATTCAGTTGTTAAGCCAATGTGACAGTAAGCAGGGGATTCCGATTGTTGAGATGTAACTGCAGCTGGAATTTACACATCTCTTGGGTTCTGAGCTCAGCCGCCTCACGGAGCCTGATGGAGAACCCGGCTCCAACCCCAGAACTTCGGCCACATGGCAAGAAGGCAAGAAGGGCCCCCTGAATGTGGGTGTCTCTGGTGACATGTAGTGAATGCAGAAGCTGCAGGCCACCCCAGCCTCATGTCAGTATTCCAATCACCTGTCCTCCCTCCTCCAGGCTTCTCAGCTTCTGTGCTCCCAACCAGGTCAGAGGCAGGAAGGACAGCACAGGGAAGTTTCCATCGGTATAAAACTATCCAGAGTATTGAGAGGAAAACATGGTGGCTGTTTGGAATCTGGAATCACATGTGATTTGCAAAATCACATGTGATTTTCATGTCCAAGGAGATCTTGTAAAATTGGACTTAAAAAAAAAAAGAAAAATAGCTGAATTCAGGAACAGTGTGTTTTCCTCCTTTCTCAGACAGCAGGCTTACCTTATGGAGTGTTCAGAGAGCACTTCTCCACACTGGTGAGTCACCAGTCCCTTTTGTCAAGAAGTTAGATTTGGAGATGGGAATGAGTTCAGTACACAGTTTCTACTCATTAACAGTGACTGAGAAAGATCCCACATCACTGGTGTCTCCGAGAGAGGCTAAGGCTGGCTGGGGACAGCTCCGGAAGTCGTTTGAGGCTCAGGGTGACCCTGCCCACAGACAGACATCCCAGGACCTTTGCTGGCTGCCATTGCATTTCGGCATTCACGGACTCTGAAGGATCTGCTTACTCTAACTGATCTTATTCCTGCATAATCTTTTCTTTTTCTCCTGCTCTGCTGCCTGTTTATTTTTTGTTATCAGAGGAAGAAGAAATGCTCGAACCAGGAACCAGGTATTTACTAGAAAGGCCCATTAGCCCCATGCAACTGGACGGAAGTTATCTCTTGATCTGACTTCCAGAACAGTGCTCACTTTGCCTGTTGCTGATGGGGTCCCTCTCCTTTCCTGTCCTCCACTGCCGTTAAACAAAGACAGAATTCACAGGTGGGGTGTGGAGGAGCCAAGAACATCTGATCCATGCCGTTTCAAGAAAGGCATGTTACATATGCTTTGTGCTTTCCTCATCTTTTAAGGAGGCTAGTGGTTTAATTTGGTCCCTTTCAAAAAAAAAGGTTAAAATAAATGTTATACTTTTTAAGTGACCTAAATAATAGATCAAGCAGTCTTGGGAAGCCAGAGGAAATTACCCTTTGCTCAGCCATTTGTGACTGTAGACCAACCTAAGAAGAAATTGAATATCCTTTTATGTCCTGGATACCAATACTTAGCATCACATCTTATTCAGCCTTTTGACTAAGACCAGCCACTAGATGGCCAATGGCTGAACTACTTACATGCTTACTATTAAAGCATTCATGTGGATGTTTACGTTACATCATAGGCTAGTAGAACTAGCCTTTCCTCCTTAGAGCCCCCGCCCCGCTCCCCCACACTTTGTTCTTATTTCTGGCATCAGGCACCACAGCAATGGGACAGGCGCTCACCCTGCCTGTTTATCCCTAAGCGCTGGGAGAAGCTCCTGAGTTGGGCTAAAATGGATCGGGAGGGAGGCAGGATACTCAGGCTCCAGGCCTCTCCCTCTAATGGCTTCTGCCCCCATTCCCCATGCCCTGAACCCAGATTCCTTGCAGCTGGGGAAGAAGAGAGAGCATTTCTTTAAAATTATCATAGCTATGCCTTTTTCTGCACTTAACTGAAGACTCTATGGTAACTATTTGTAGACACTTTAAGATTATTAGCCTTTCCTTGCTTGTTTTCTTACTAATCTGATGGTACTAATATTCTGGCTTGTTGACACCATGCTTGCATTGTCTTTTGCCTATGGTGGTTGTCCAGCCTAATGAAAGTCATATTTTTTTTTATTTTTCCTTAAGGATTCAGGACAAGCTATACCACTTGTAGTTGAGAGCTGCATTCGATACATCAATTTATACGGTAAGCTCCATCTTGGGATCAGACTTTTTGGCTAGATTGTTCTAGAAGGAAATGGGATTCTAATTCATCTTGGAAAACTCCCTGTTGGTGCTCTACTTCCCAGGTAGGAGGGGGAGAATGCTGTTATTCTCGGTGCTCTCTTTGGAGCCTGTATGCCAGGATGGGGATGTGGAAGCAGGTGTGAGGATGTGGGCCTGGGCTGACAGAAGTTTTGAGGGCCTAGACAGAAACAAGTTCAGTTCCTTCTCACTCACACCCAGCCCAGACCCAGCATGCCAGTTAATACTACTGGGTCATAAACACTGAAATTTGTTAACCCTGGTGTCACCAGAACATAACCTGTGCTTGTCCACTTACTCATTCCTGCAATCACATATTTATTTAATGAATAATTAGGCACTGTTTTGGACACAGGAGTAAAAGTGTGAATAAAAAAGGGAACCTGCTCTGGGTAGTTGACATTCTCAACTGAAAGACAAGGAAATAAATAATAAGAGTAAGGGCAATCATCCCTTGGTACTGATAAGGGATTAGTTCTAGGACCCCTGAATAACAAGGTCTACAAATGCTCACATGCCTTGCATAGAAGGGCACAGCATTTACAGATAACCCACTTACTTGTAACACCTAATACAAAATGAATACTATGTAAATAATTGTATTGTTTAAGGGCTGATGACAAAATCTGTGCCTTTTCAGATCAGATGTCATTTTTTTCTTGGATATTTTCAAATCCACTTTTAGTTGAATCCACAGGGGAAAAACCAATGGATACGAAGAGCTGGCTGTAATATAATCATGCATAGCAGTAATGCCATGAAACTAATGGAAAGGGGGTAGGAAATGGCTTGCTGGGTGCTACTATGGCTAAAGTGGTAGGAAGAGACCTCTTTGAAGAGGTGATGATTGAATTGTAGCCAGAGTAGAGAAAGATCGCCATGTACCCAGGTGGAGAGAATGGTGAACAAAAGGTAGAAGGAAGGTCAGTGTGGCTGAGTGGTAATGAGGCAGGGAGCAATATAGACACACATGGATGGTATAAATGTAATGTTGCTTAGCTATGGAGATAAACTATTTATTGAGCACCTAGTATATATAAACCAAATGTTGGCAAAGCCTTGGCTTTGAAGGCAAGACATTTCCTGCATTATTGACATGGAGAATTGTTCTATATAGGAAAACTAAGATGGGAAGGATTATCGTCCATTCATTTCCACGCAAGATGAAGCAGGCCCGATGCCTCCCTTGGTCCCTGTTTCATCATAACGGTTGGGTCAGGGTCAGAGCCTCCTCTTCATTAGGGTTTTGTAGAAACATGTAAAATTAAGTACGAACTTCTTTCTTAATTCAATCTTCTTCAAACTCTTGGATTCCCAGACTGGAGTACCTTTCTTGAAGGAAAACCTTTTCTGAATGAAGGAAAGATACTGATGTTGGTTAAAATGACTCATTATCTGGGCACTAATGGCTCTGCCTCTATTCCTGGCTACTCAGGAGTCTGGGATCTGAGAATAGCAGTTCAAAGCCAGCCTGGGAAGGAAAGTTCATAAGATTTTTATCTTTGATTAATCTCAAAAAGAAAAAAGCTCAAAAGAGGAACTGTGGCTCAGGTGGTAGAGCACTAGCTTTAAGCACAAAAGCTCAGGGACTGCAAGAGCACAGACCCTGAGTTCAAGCCCCAGGATTGGCACCAGGGGTGGAAAGAAGAAAGAAAAAAAGAAATGACTCATGGTCTTGGCTTTCAAACCAGGTCAGGGAGTCACAGACATGGAAACAGTGTGTGTCTGAGTATTTGAGTAGCTGTAGTTCATTGTCAAGGCCATGTTTGAGCTGCTGCCAGGGTATCTCTGTTAGGAATGGCTCCATTGTAAAGGAAAGAAGTAGAAAGGGACAAGCTGAGCCGGGCACTGGTGGCACTGGTAACCCTAGCTACTCAGGAGGCTGAGACCTGAGGATGGCTATTTGAAGCCATCCCTGGCAGGAAAGTCTTGAGACTCTTACTTCCAATAAACCACTGAGAAAAAGCCAGAAGTGGCGCTGTGGCTTAAGTGGTAGAAAAGAAGCCCCAGGACTGCCCCCCACCAAAAAAAAAAAAAAAGAAGAAGAAAGAAAAGGAAGGGAAAAAAAGAGACAAGCCTAGAGAGTCTCCAGTGTCCCCAGTGAGCTGCTGAGCTCAAGTCTCATGTCATTGATGGGTTTTTTTTCTTTGTTTCCTTTTTAGGACTCCAACAACAGGGGATCTTCAGAGTGCCAGGGTCTCAGGTTGAAGTGAATGACATAAAAAATTCCTTTGAGAGAGGTGGGTGTGACTGGTTGTCTCAAGCTGTGTGGCAGGTGGAGGGAGGAGGCTGTGTGTGTGTGTGTGTGTGTGTGTGTGTGTGTGTGTGTGTGTGTGTGTGTGTGTGTGTGTGTGTGTGTGTGTGTTAACACAGGTTTTAGAGCCTGTGGTGCATAGAACCCTCGGCTCACAGTAGTTTTCAAGAGCCAATACACACATCTCTTTTCCCATTTCACCGTCAGTGACTTTACCCTGGCAGCCTGAAATGAGTCACAGCAGGATTATTTTATACCACAGGTAATGGAAAATATCAAAATCTTTTTGCTTTCTTATAAAAAGCTAACTCCTATTTTACTTATTGCTACAACTTGAGTATCCCTAATCCAAAAATCTCAAATCCAAAACATTCCAGAGTTTAAAACATAAAATTACCAACATGACGTACAAATGGCAAGTTGACCACCTAGCTCCGTGAGATAGATCACAGTTTCTATGTAGGTGTGTTAAAGATATCATCAAATCTTCAGGTTACATATGTATATATAAAGGGGGTTATGAACTATAAATGAATTTTATGTTGAGACTTGGGTCTCATCTCCAAGATCCTTCATTAGGTATGTGCAAAATTTTTAGGTATATTCAAAAATTTTAAAAAAGGATCCAAGTAAAAAACACTTGTGGTCCATTGCTTCACCTGGACTATAGCTGCTGGTGGGTGACTTTCTCTAGCGTACTTTCCCGTCATTTCTGGAAGACAGCCTTGTGCAGAGCTCAGAGATATTGCTGTATCTGAGAAAGTTGGAAAAACCAAGATGACTCCAAGTGAATTTTAGAATAGCCTATTTCTTCATTTTTTCCCCCAATACAGTGGTTTTTGGCCAACTATACATTGTGAGGAAGAGACCATATATTCCCCTCTCCCCCTCTCCCCCACTTTGATTGGCCAAGCACATGAAAGCTTATTGGAAGTGAAGGGCAAGGACAGGCTCGTGTGGTTTACTTAATGTAGCCTCCCTTGTCTCAGAGGCCCTGATGGGGACAGTTGGCCCATGACAGTGTTCATACAGAAGAAGGCCCCACTGTGCCAGGAAAAAATGAGTTCTTACACATCTGTGTTTCTCTGCACAGTGCTTATTTTCTCTGCTTACAGTAAAACTGGAAATCCATGCATGTTTATCCAAGAAAACAAGTTCAGACGTCTTGATCCCTGATTCTAGGACAAAGCCTAGCCTTAGCAAGTCCATGTTCATGTGCCAGTGGAGGAAAGGAGACTGCATCATATCTATCACAGACAATACTGTATTTCTGCTGCCAGTTTTCCAACAATTTGGAAAGATCCATAGTCTGTCCCTCTTCAGTTTGAATCCTCTATCTTGTTTTTTTGGGGTGGCCCAGAAAACAAAGCCCAGTTTCTAGCAACACATCCCAATAGGTAAGAAAACACTTGGTTATCAATGCTTTCAGGTGAGCTGCTTCAGACTCATGAGGTGTATGCCTTTTACCCTGCTGGCTGTACTCTGAGCAAGCCTTTCCCTGGGGCTTCACCACAGGACTCTCCCTATTATCTCACTTCTCCTGGCGATGCTGCCTTCTTAGCCAACTCTCTGCCTCCCAGTCTAGTCCTCTCAGCTCCGTCCATCATTGGAGAAAGCATTCTGCATCACCGGCATGGGCCCTCTGCACCCGATCCTCTCTGGGTGTTAAGAGCAGGATTGGGCTCAATGTGATGCCCAGTAGCCTCCCAAGAACCCAGCGAACTTCAGCTCTGAAGTCCACTCCAGAATCTTAAGCACTTAGAACCAGAGGACCCCAGACTTCCCCTGCTCCATACTCTCTCTGGGCATTTATTCATTCATTATTTCAGCAAGCAAGCATTCTTTGAGCCGTCTACAGTACAGGTAATAGCCCAGGACCTAGAAATCAGCCAATCCATCTCTACTAGTGGGGAGACCAAATTCATAAACAATTTTCCTAATGGGTACAGAGTTTAAGTAAACACTGGGTACTATGGGATCCCCCTCACTCACCTAGGGTGGAGTGGGGAGGAAGAGCAAAGCCAGGCTCACCCCATCATACAGACCTCCTTGACCCTGCCATGAATCCCTTGGATGACCTTGCACAGTGCCTCCAGCCCAGTAGACACTTGCCAGTGAGTTTGTGGAATACTGATGGAACCAAACCCGTGTGATGCAGTAGGGATTCTGCAGGAGGGTTAGTATAAGAGTAGCTATTCAATAAGGAACATCCATGAAGAGAGATACACTCCGCTGCCATCTTGCTTGTGATCCCGTTTTGGCCATCCACCCATGTAGCATCCTTGCCAAAAATATTTAACCCAAATTGAGTTATGGGGAAACAATCAGACAAACAAAAAATGTGGGTAATTCTATGAGATAACTGACCTGAACTCTTTGGCAAGAGTTAATATTATAAAACACAAATGTAACAAACAAATATGTCAGAGCCTAGTTTTGCCCTTAAAGTAAAAGAAACATGATCAGCAAAAGAACACTATTCAAATCAGTGTGAACCCTAATTGGAAGTTAGATTTGACAAGATTTTATAAAGACTTTGCAGGATGACTGGGGAAAGTTTGAATGTGGACTATATGTGAGACATCATTTGGAACAGATTGTTCGTTTCCCTGGGTATATCATGCTATTTGTGGTTGTGTGAGAGTATACTGATTCTTAAGAGAAATGGGATCAGTGTGTTGTGATGTCTACAAATATTTTCAAATTATTGAGCCATGGTGAATATAAATAGGGGGAAAGAGAGTATGCCAGTTTGGCAAGAAGTATGGTGGATGTGTATTATTTTACTCTTAAATTTTTTCTGAAGAGTTGACATTTTTAAAGAGGAAGTTTCAGAGGAAACTAAAATCTAGGAGGAGAGAGGAGCCATATGTTGGGAGGTTTGTTCCATTTACCTTCCACCAGTCCAGGTGGCCAGGTCACCTGATCTGCTATCTGTATATCCTCTACCTTCTCCCCAACCTAAAGCCTCCTCATTTCCCATTTCTACAGGTGAAGACCCCCTTGTGGATGATCAGAACGAGCGAGATATCAACTCAGTAGCTGGTGTTTTAAAACTGTATTTCCGAGGACTGGAAAACCCACTCTTTCCTAAGGAAAGATTTCAAGATTTGATATCTACTATTAGTAAGTATTTCCCAGGTGGAACCATTACATCCTCGATGACGCTTTTTTTTTTTTTTTTTGGTCAGTCATGGGGCTTGAACTCAGGGCCTGAGCACTGTCCCTCAGCTCTTCAGCTCAAGGCGAGTGCTCTACCACTTGAGCCACAGCGCCACTTCTGGTTTTCTGGTGGTTTATTGGAGATAAGAGTTTCACGGCTTTTTCTGCCCAGGCTGGCTTTGAACCGCGATCCTCAGATCTCAGCCTCCTGAGTAGCTAGGATTACAGGTGTGAGCCACTGGCTCCCGGCCTCGATGAAGCTTTATTGAAGCTGTACTATGGGCTCATCACTGTGCCAAGCATCAAGGAAGGATGACATGAAAGTGTGGCCTTTATCCTCACAGACCTTAGAACCAAGCTGTGGTTTGCAAGGAGAGGGCCGATGGATATGACAAAAGCCCAATACAGAAGAGCTTAGGGGAGAAGCAGAGTGAGGCTCAGTTTTGGGGACTGGACCCAAGGGAGGCATGGGAGCAGGGTCTCTAGCAGTGGACACAGGGAATCCTGGGAAAAGTTAAGGACACAGACCACTGGAACCAGCAGAAGGGTGTCCTGACCTGTGCATCGTGCAAGAGGGAAAGTTAGATGGAGCAAGCGGTAGAAGAGCTTTCTACCTCGGGGGATGGGGAACCACACAAGGTCTGGGGGTCAGGTGAGCAGGCAAGGGAATGGTAGGAATAAGTTACATTGTTAGCACAAGAGCCCTTCTTAACAGTTGTGTTTCTGTGCATGAAGTCAGGAAGAGCTGGCTTCAGGGAGTGGGGACTGACCTCAAGGCGTCTTGGTTATAAGATGCTCAGATCCAAAGCACTTTTTGGGAGGAAATATTTTTAAAATAAACCTTTAGTTTGAGCATATTTTATTGGATTTAGAGAAGAGTTAGTCCACCTCAGTTTCACTGCTATTCTTCTCCCAGGACTTTGTGAGTTATCTGCAGTCAGGAGCATGTCGACAGTTGACAAAGGGAGAGAGAGGCCTGAGTGCTCTTGAGCTCTTGTGCAAAGGCCCTGCCTGTGCCCATCTGTCACCTCCACTAATTCCTGCCCATCTTTCTAGATTTGCTGCAACCTTAACCTACGACTTGAGAATCCCAGACCACAAAGGCCTAGTCTGAATTCCATGTCTCTTATTCATTCAGTGTTTCCAGAAGCCCAGTAATCCATTTCCTATGTAGAGCCCTGAGTGGACAAGAAGGTCAGTCTCTAGCACAGGTCATGACCAGGACATTACCTAATTCAAGTCACAGCATGAGAAAGTCTATTCTCAGTTTCCTTCCAACCCTATGATTATACCAAAGAGAAGACATAACACATACATGCCAACTTCCCTTCTGAACACAGAGAGCCAGGCGCAGTCTCTGGAAACTTGGTAGGCAACTATGACTACCTATAATTTGGTTAACTATAGTTTTGGTTGCTTTTGTTATACAATTGTCCCCATCTGTGGTATTGATTTCTAAGTCTAGTTACTGAGTCAACTGCAGTATGAGGATAATTAGTGAAAAATTTCAGAAATAGTTCATTGTTCAAAAACTTTTATTACAGTGAGTTAACATCATTCTACCATTAGCTACAGTTATCATTACTCTCTTCCTGTGCCTAATGTTGTCAAAGGCAGATGCAGGTAAGAGGATACGGGATTTATAGAGTTTGCTACTCCCTGCCACTTCAGACGTCCTCAGAACGCCTTTGACTCCATCTCTACAGATAAGGGAGAACTCATGCACCTCCTAACTGGGGTATTGATCCCCATTTCTCATGAACAGATTAAGGTAAAACTTCCTTTTAAAATAAATATATTTATCCAGGTGCCAGTGGCTTACACATGTAATCCTAGCTACACAGGGGGCTGAGATGTGAGGATCATGGTTCAAAACCAGCTTAGACAGAAAAGTCTGTGAGACTCTTATCTCTAATTACTCACACAGAAAAGCTAGAAGGAAGCCGGGCGCTGGTGGCTCATGCCTGTAATCCTAGCTACTCAGGAGGCTGAGATCTGAGGATCGCGGTTCAAAGCCAGCCTGGGCAGGAGAGACCGTGAGACTCCTATCTCCAATAAACCACCAGAAAACCGGAAGTGGCGCTGTGGCTCAAGTGGTAGAGCGCTCGCCTTGAGCTGAAGAGCTGAGGGACAGCGCCCAGGCCCAGAGTGCAAGCCCCACGACCGACAAAAAAAAAAAAAAAAAGCTAGAAGGAGAGATGTTGGCTCAAAGGATAGAGCACTAGCCTTGAGAAGGGAAAAAAAGGCCCATGGACATTACATAGGCCCTGAGTTCACAGGCCTATGTCACAGAATAAGAAACAAACAAACAAAAATCCTCCTTTCTTGCAGCCCCCAACTATCCAGACTTCACTCTACCCAGATTCAAGGGTTTGGCTTTTTTTAGGTTTTCTCTACTGGAAGCCATGAGGATCAATTCTGATTGGCTGTAGGTAGACCATGCCTCTAACCCCTCCTGTGCCTAGAGCTGTGACATTTTGATTGTCAAGCCAGAATTCTGTATGGATGCTCTAAATTAGAACAATCCAGCTGGTCGCTGGGGACTGATGTGGATGGTGGGACCGCGAATAGCTGCTGCTTTGCCCTCCGAGGATGACCAGCACCCTGAAACCCATTTATGTTACAGAACTGGAAAGCCCAGCTGAGAGGGTGCACCAGATCCAGCAAATCCTTATCACCCTGCCCCGTGTGGTCATCGTGGTCATGAGATACCTCTTCGCTTTCCTCAACCAGTGAGTGCCTTGCTGAGGGGCCCCTGTTTTGACCATCCCTGACCTCCTCTTGTTGGGAGGGGGGTGTCCTGAAGCATTTGCAGGTGCTACTGTGTTCAAAGCAGAACAATGAACCATCCTGGATTTGAGTAGAGTCCTCCCTTCAAAAGACAGGAACCATGAGGGATTGGCCTCTCCCAGGTGACTTGTGGGTACCTGCTTTCTCCTAGCCTCTCCCAGTATAGCGACGAGAACATGATGGATCCCTACAACCTGGCCATCTGCTTCGGGCCCACCCTCATGCACATCCCTGATGGACAGGACCCTGTGTCCTGCCAGGCACACGTCAATGAAGTCATCAAAACCATCATCATCCATCATGAAGCCATCTTCCCCAGCCCCCGGGAGCTAGAGGGACCCGTATATGAAAAATGCATGGCTGGAGGGGAAGAATATTGGTAAGATGCTATGCCTCTTAATGTTATTCTCATCATCACTCACCAGACAGTGAGAAGTCCCCTCCCCTACAAGTCCTTACTGCTTTAGAGTCTATAGTTCCACATGCATTTTCTTGTTTGAGTTTCATGCAGCCTTACACCAAAGGAAGGTACATTCATCAAGAGTCCATGGGTTACAGGGAATAGAAACACAACATGTCTGTGTCAAACAGAAGTCCGGTGTGAGTGGATCTGGGGACTTAACTCTTTTTTTTTGTCAGTTGTGGGGGCTGAACTCTGGATCTGGGCACTGCCCCTCAGCTCTTCAGCTCAAGGCTAGCGCCCTACCACTTGAACCACAGCACCACTTCCGGCTATTTTCAGCTTATGTGGTGCTGAGGAATCGAACCCAGGGCCTCATGCATGCAAGGCAAGCATTCTTCCACTGAGCCACCTTCCCAGCCCAGGACTTAACTCTTATTATCAGGATTTGTCTGCAATCCCCACCCATTAGCTTTGCTTTCCTCTGTACTGGCTTCATTCTCAATCTTCCCCTCGATGGTTGCAAGAAGGCAGCCAGCAGCTCCAGCTTTGTAGTGCATTCTCTGAGAAGCCTCAGTTGGGGGGGAGGGGGGGGCGGGGAAGCTTCACCTTCCCAAATGTTCCAGCACAGGCCTGGAATGTGCTTTGTGCTGCCATTGGGTCTGGTGAAGTCAAGACAATAGTGTGGAGAGGTATCGCCCTCACTGGCCTGCTGGGCCTGGCCAGGCTTCTCAGGAAGGAACCATCCCTGGTAATCACTCAGAAGTAAGAGTGACACTTCCCACCAGCATCCCCTCCCACCTAGGACTTCCCTCTTCTGCACAAAGTGAGCTTGATTCTGGAGTGTTCTACTCCAGGTCGGCTATCACTCATTGAGTACCTCCATGTTGCCTGAGACTACACCTGGTCTTAGATCTACTTTAAAACCTTTTCAGAACCATGTCTAGCCTAATATGTGCAGGCAGGAAAAAACTGAAGATTCAACCAAGAGGTGAGTCTAGGTATTTGCTTCAGAAATGTAGAGAGAAGGAATCTGTCATCATTAAAAACTGATAAAGGGACTTGGTGCTTAGTACACCTGAGACTCTGGGTTCAATCCCCAGCACCCACATACCCTCTCCTATACCAGAAGAAAAGAAAAGGATAAATGTTTAAGTAGATACATTTACCCCCAAGAGTTTTGTTACGCAGGGTGTAACATCACATAAATATGTACAATTTTGTGCTTGTCTATATCAGTTAAATTTTCTAATTAAGAAAGAAGACTCCATGAAAAGAAATGCAGCCAAAACCTGAAACTCAGCATATAAGCAAGAGAGACCCACCAAAGGCTGCTGCTGTTTCTTTATTCCCAGGATGATATACAACTACCGTACCCAGCTGCATATTTAAGTCTACTTTCCCAGGTTCCTACAAGGTTTCCCCAGGTTCTCCTTTTTAACCTTTCCCCCCCTCCCCCATCCTACTTTTGCAGTATGGATATTGAGTTCAGGGCCTCATGTTTGCTGGATGAGTGCTCTACCACTTGAGCCACATCCCCAGCCATTTTGCTTTTAGTTTGTTTTTGAAATAGGGTCTAATACTTTTGCCTGGGCCAGCCTTGGATCAGACCGCAGTCCTGTCTCCATCTCCCAGTCTGGGATCATAGGCGTGCACCACCAGAAAGTTTGGATTTTGTTTTGTCTACTGAGAAAAGGTCTCCATATATATAAATCTCCCAGACTGGTCTCAAACTCAAGAATCTTCTGTCTCAGCCTTCCAAGTGCTGGGATTATAGGAGTACACCACCATACAGATCCAGAATTTGTTTTTTGATTAATGTTAATTCTGGAATTGCCTTAGTTCTGTGAACTGATTTGGATACCTGCTTCAAAGAAGGGAGGTGATTCCGGTCCCTCTGACCTTGTGCACATATGTCTGAGCTGTAGTGATGTCTGATCAGGGCTCTGTGCTCTCACTGGGGCCCCAGGGAGCAAGTCCACCCCTTTTGTGTTACAGAAACACTAAACATGTAGAATGCATCACTAATGCACAAAGGGAACCTTCCACACATTTTACCACCGTCACTGGTTTCCTTGGCACAATAGCTGGTACAATTGTATATAATGTGTTCTGACAAGGAATCTGCAGATCCTGCCTCCCAAAGAACAATGTGCAATAACCATACTTTTCTCAGTCCCATTCATTTCTCATGAGACTGGAAAACCCCCATTATTTTGGAGGAGTTATGAAAGTCAAGAAAGGTAGATTTGGACATAACCTTGACAATTAAAAAAAGAAAGAAAGAAAGAAAGGTAGATTTGGCAAAGATCCCAGCACAGTGGTTCCCAAGCTCTGGTTGTGTCTTGAGTCCTGGCTGGGCTGCAGGGATGGAGCGGGAACAGGTAGTTCCAGAAGTGAGATCCAGGGCCAGCCCAAGGCACACTTCTTAGAGAAAGTAAAGACTTCACTAAGGCAGTAGGGTAAACTGGGGCCACTCAGTGAGGACTGGAGGAAGAAAGTTCTAGGCCTGGAACATTTGGTAATTTGAAAAGCTGCTCTGTTTGGCTGGGGTGTGGAGGATTGAGAATTGAGAGTCAGGGGGCTGCACAGGTTAGATGGGGCTATGACCTTATCCATATAGGAGAATTCTTCAGCAGAAAGCTTATACTCTTTCACTTGACATGGCAAACATCCCCTCATCTGAGAAGCCATTCTTGACCCTCTATATAGGTCCCCTTGGCTCATTTCTTTCCTACCACACATCATTTCAGCTGACACGTGTTTAATCCACTAGCTTGTTTCCTTGTCCTACTTTCTAGAATGGGGCAGTGAGGCCCAGGACCTTGTCCACCTGACCTATCAAAGCATTCCTCCTACTTAACACATGGTATAAAGTAGAACCCACTTAATGGTTCACACCTATAATCCTAGCTACTCAGGAGGCTGAGATCTGAGGACTGCAGTTCAAAACTAGCCTGGGCAGAAAAGCCCATGAGACTCTTATCTCCACCAAAAAGCCAGAAGTGGAGTTGTGGCTCAAGTGATGTGTCTGGCCTTAAGTGAAAAAGCTTGAGTGCTGGCCTTGAGTGTTGGCCTTGATCAAATGACCACATGAATGAATTCTGGCCTCAAGAAGCTTATAATCTAACAGCAGGGTAGAGATTGTCCCAGTACACGAATGACACATCATCACATCGTCCAGGGTGTTCCCACCACCTAGATTGGCCTATGTATTATACATGGAAGATGAGGCAGCCCTGGTTCCACCTCTTCATGGGATGTGTCAGCACATCTGTAAGACAAGGAGTCAGGACAGGAGAACTGACTCTCAGTACTTCAGGGGTCCTTTCTGGTCCACACAAGGTTTTACCATTGCCATCTGGAGCTTTCTGAATAGGAGGAAATTGTCATCTATTCTGTGCTGTTACAGCAGAATTCTGGAGACTGGGTTATTTATAATGACCAGAAAGTTTTATAGCTCAGGATTCTGGAAGGTAGGAGGTTCAAGAGCTAGCAGCAGTGCCTCGTGAGGGCCTTCCTGTTACAGCATCCCAGGGCAGAAGGCAGAAGGGCAAGAAAGTGCAAGGGCGAGTGAATCAGAACAGGGTGTTGGTCAGAGTCACTTTTAATCCAGTCCCCTCATGCTCAGTAATCCACTCCTGTGCTCATAACAGCCATCCATTCATGAAGGCAGGGCCCTCGTGACTGCTTCACCTCCCAACATGGTTGCACTGGAGATGAAATTTCCAACACATGAACTTTGGGGGGCACACTCATCTGAATGACAGTCTTCACCTAGAAGATACCCTGACAAATGCCAGGGCTAGCACAGGCCTGGCGGAGGTATTCAGGAAGCTACTCTGCAAGGGACTAGGAGCAGTGGATGTCACATAGAAAAGACAGGATGAGGTGCTTCTAGTCCTGTCCTGAGTGGGCCCCAGAGGAGCCCTGGGATGACACCCATGGAAGGCCAGGAAAGTGTGAGGGTGCATGGCCTCCCGACAAGTCCTTTCCTTGTGTTCATTTGCAGTGACAGCCCACACAGCGAGCCAGGCACCATCGATGAGGTGGACCATGACAATGGCACGGAGCCACACACCAGTGATGAAGGTAAGTGAGCAGTTTCCAGACCCAGCACCTAACCTGAGACCCCCCCTCATAGTGCCTCAGGCTGCCCACAGTGCTGGCCCACACAGGGCCCAGCTCCCCAAGGCAGCACAACCATCCTTCAGAGCAGTCCTGACACATCTGCAGGAAGACTGAGCTCACTGCCAAGGGCCCACAGCATTTGAAGGGTCTCACTGAAATGTTTCATTCTTTATTTTTGTGCTTGTCCTGGGGCTTGAACTCAGGGCCTGGGGCTGGCACTCTACTATTGCAGCCACACTTCTGCTTCTAGCTTTTTGGCCATTCATTGGAGATAAGAACCTCACAGACTTTCCTACCCGAGCTAGCTTCAAACCACAATCCTCAGATCTCATTCTTTTAAATATGGGAGAGAAAATAATTACAGTATCCACTCTGGACTATATTTGCTTTTACATCACACAAGATTTAACTTTTATTTTACATAGGAAGGTTTTCATGCAGGCACACATGCCAAGGGCTGGTAGTGGTCATGGAATGGTCCTACACAGTCTAGGCACATCCTCCCTTGCTCCTCTTTGTGTGTCTTCTGTAGGACTTGAAATCAGGGCTTCATACTCTCACTTCTCTTTTTCACACAAAGCTAGTGCTCTACCACTTAAGCCACACCTCTGCTTCTGGCTTCTGAAGATAAGAATTGCACAGATTTTTCTGCCCAGGCTGGCTTCATACCATATCTCATATCTCAGCCAGTCAAGTAACTAGAATTATGGACGAGTCACTGGCACCTGACCATATAGTTTTACTTTTAACAACTCATTATTTAGAAGGTCTTTACTTGGCCCTTGTGTTTCCCTCTTGAGATAACTCCAGGCAATGTTGAAAGCACTTATGTTAGAAGAACATTTTCCAGTGGTTTCTAGGAGTTGGAGAAAAGGCAAGACTGGTAGATGGACTTTCACATTCAGTTCCTAAGAGAGAACTTTAACTCAGATAGTCTTAACCTGCTTTAGGTCATATGAACAGAAAATGACAGAGCACAAAAACCATTAGCCCATTGCTTAAACTAGTCAAGACTGTCCTTGACCCAAGAATAAATGTTCTATGGGCAGTTATGTTTAAACTATGACCCAAGGAATTCTTCCTCTCTCACAATAAAGTCTAAGGATGCATGTATTCATTTGCTAGAGCTGCCAAAACAAAATAACCACAGATCGGTTAACCACAGCTAGGCTTTAAACAGCAACTAACTTTCTCATAGTTTTGGACACTAGACACCCATGATCAAGGAGCTGCATTAGGGTTAGTTTCTGTGAGGCCTCTCTCCCTGACTTGTCACCAGCGGTCTCCATTTATGCACAGGGATGGCTAGTGTGTCTTCCTCTTCTTAAAAGGGCACAGTGGATTAGGGCTGCACACTTGGAACTTGCTTAGCAGTACCTCAGTTTCTTTCTTTCTTTCTTTTTAACCTAATTAAAGAACCTGTCTCCAAATATTGAGTTAGGGCTTCAACTTAATGAATTTTGAGGGAACATGGTACAAAATAGTGAACTTTGAAAATTCTGGGAACCCTTAAAAACTACATGCCACATTTTGCCCATGTGCCATCTATTTGAACTCTCAGAAGTTTAAAAAAAAAACTGAAAGTATTGTAAGTGGACAAAGAGGAAAGGGCTTGTGGAAACAGAAACAGAACTTATTCTAAAGTGTAAAAAGAAAAGAAGTTTATTCAAATGGACTTTAATAATTGTTAAAATATTGAGAGCAAGAGGGGCAATGGAAAATCCAGTATTCCCAGTTCGTACTGGCCATTTTGAGGAATCAGATGGCTTGTCAGAGGTCACGCTGGAAAGTGGCTCCAGCATCCCAAGGCCTGGTTCATTCCTTGCTCTCACCAGACACACTCCCTGTCCTTCTCCATAGAAACCAGGGCCATGTGATGGAGATTCCTGGGCTGTCCCTCTTCTGACCTCACGGACATTCTCTCACTTGATTTCCTTCCAGAAGTGGAGCAGATCGAGGCCATTGCCAAGTTTGACTATGTGGGTCGGTCCCCTCGTGAGCTGTCTTTCAAGAAGGGGGCGTCCCTGCTCCTCTACCACCGTGCCTCAGAGGACTGGTGGGAGGGTCGGCACAACGGTGTGGATGGACTCATCCCTCATCAGTACATAGTTGTACAAGACATGTGAGTGGGAATTGGAGCCTTCTGGAAGAATGTGGTGATAGATTAGTAATGTCTGGAACGGGCAGTGGATGAGAAATACTAAGCTGAATGCTGGCCATTTGTTCTCCCAGATACAGTACGTTTAATGTTCTGTAAGAAAAGGTTGTTACATCCCCTAAATGGTAAAAACAAATATGAATTGCTCATTTGCCCCTGGCCACAACCTAGATCCATCAGTCAGTTCCCACAACCTTCGTCACCCACCATGGTTCTTAGCACCCAGTGGATTTTCCCCTGTCCTCTACTTCCCAGTGGCCAGTGACAGCTTTCCATCTCTTCCCTGCCCACGGTTCTTACTCCAGATGCGGCTCTCTCAGGAGATGTGCTGAAACAAACACACCCTGTTTCCAGTTAATAGAGTACCTTATCACTTCAAGGGCTAAAAATTGTCTGCTTCCCAAATACCTAACCCTATAGAACATCTCAGACAGTTGACATGTCCCCATTCCTTTGGAGGCCATTGAAGTCTCCTCCTGTGCACACATTCTCTGCTCAGGGTAGATTGGTCCTGGAAGCCATTGCTGGGCTAAGCCTCACAGAAAGGGACCAAAAAGCCTGTGCTTTCATGACAGAAGGAACGGCCAAGACCAGACAAAGGCCAAGGCCAAGCAGACAGTATGAGGAATATCATAGTAGTGGGGATCCCGAAGCCTCTGACACCATGAACAAGTCACTGGAAGGGAGAGAGCTATGGGAGGAGGCTAGCAGAACACCTCAAGAAGCTTGAGCCCCCCTCGCAGTCCCGCCCCTTAGAAGGGACGGTGACTAAAGGACACACCTCTTCTTTCCTCACTCAGTCCTGAACCACTTCTCATGTAGCTCCATGGAGTCTTAGAGACTTGAATTCCGCCCAGCTTGCAGAATCCACACCCCATGTCTCCAGCCTGTGTCTCCAGTACAGAGCTTTTCCTAGCACAGACACATTCAGAAGAGGACCAACTAGAGAAGGGGAAGGAAAGTAGCCATGAGTTGGTGGGACAAAAGAGTGTCTCTTGCAAGAGGCGGGCTCCAGGAGCCTTGCAGTGGGCACGTATGGTGGAAAGGTGGTTCTTCCTGAGCATCAGGCACAGATCGCCACATGGGGACAGGGGTGGTGTTCACTTGGTCCCCAGCCTTGGACGGAGGAGCTGGTGTGGAGGGAGGAGTCTCCAATGATTCATGTCTCTCTTTTCACCAGGGACGATGCCTTCTCTGACAGCTTGAGCCAGAAGGCTGACAGTGAGGCCAGCAGTGGGCCTCTGCTGGATGACAAGGCCTCCTCCAAGAATGACCTCCAGTCTCCCACAGAGCACATCTCGGATTATGGCTTTGGGGGGGTGATGGGCCGGTAGGAAATGCGGGTTCATTTTTTTTCTTTCCTGTCAGTGCCTTGTGGGTTGTGTCTGAGTTGAGAGAAGCAAGAGGGTGGCAAAGAGAGGAGGAGGCTATTGTAGCCCTTTGCTCCCACAGCTATGACGTGGGTAGGCTGGCCGGACCCGGCTCAGAGAGCCAAGTCCAAAATGAGCTGACTTTGTTTGGGTAGGGGTGGAGAAGGAAAAGGGCAGATGAACTTAAGGAACTCGATGCTTTTTACTTAATAATGACAGGCCAGTCTTGGCTACGTAGTGCCCAAAAAAAGTAACAATGATGATGATGTAAATGAGAGAGAAATTAGCATATTATCCCCCCTTCTCTACACCTTTTCCCAGCTTTCTGTTAAAGACCTGAGTTGTTATACGTATCTTAAAAAATGTAAAGTAGCTCATATACTTCCTGAAATATATTACATAAACAGAGAACTCACACCTACTCATGTGGGAGGGAAATTGATACTCAACTCTACCCACTTATTGGGTGGGAGAAAATCTGTCAGTTTCTTCACACCCCACAGGGCAGGGCTGAGTCACATGACCTTTCTACAAAGAAGTATCTGTGCCTATTATTCTGAGGACAGGTTATGGTCCATCATAAGCTGATTTTAAATATATATACATATATATAGAAAGAGGGAGAGAGAGGGAGAGAGGGGGGAGGGAGGGAGAAGGAAAAGAACAAAAAACGCTGATAGTCTCTCATTGCTTTTATTATTGGACTCAAAATGTCATACTCTGTGCTTCCACCCATGGAAGGGTTATGTGACTAGTCCTCATGTGCAGGTCTTTGCAGAAGAGCCAGATAAACCAGTGGTGGTAACATCCATTTATGAGTTTATTTCAGCGTAACTCCTGGTGTCTCTTCTCGGCATGTTCTGTTCAGTTCAGAACGCTGCCAGATGATAGGATCCAAGGAGGGGGAAAGAAGGCTGGGAATGGTAGACAAGAAGGTCATGGCGTTCCCCAGCTCCTGGAAGGACAGAGTCTTCTCCTGCCTCTCTTGTCCTCTCCCTCTTCCCCCTCTCATCTCTTCCCTTCATGTTCTTTCTCCATGCTTCTTCCTTCCTGTGCTTTGGTCCTGTTGGGGCATCCATGGGCCTGCTAAGCTTGGCTGGGGGGGATGGGGTCTAAAGTGTTTTTGACCACATTGAACATAGGTCCCAGTCACCTTCCATTCCCAATACACCGCCCCTCCCCTGCCTCACTTCCAGATTCCCCTTCCCTGCCCCAAATCCTTTCTCCTCAAGGAGTTTTCAAACCCACTCCAAGGTGGAAGATGAGTAGAATGGATCTGCAAAAGAGCACAGGAAGGCAGATGGCAGACGTGGGGTAGGGCTTGCCTCCATACACACCTGTCAGAGCCAGAAAACCATCCCAATCCACATGCCAGGACTCTTAATGACTAGTTTTCCAGGATCGGGAAAAGCCTCCCTCGTCTGGGGAGCCTGGGGGCGGGGGCGGGGGCGGAGGGATCAGTGGCAACAGTGAATAGGTTTGGTTTCCCAGGGAATGTGCCACCCCCTGCTCACAGGATGCTGGTGGCTTTTTGGTACAGTCAAGCCTCGATGCTTCAGACTACTTAGAACCCCACTGGACTCCCACCAGAATCATGGTGATGTCTGGAAAAACTTCCACCCCAACTGACCATCACCAAAGCCTTTCCAGGGTGGAGTTCTCCCAAACTGACTTTCCCTGTAGAGGAGGCGAGTGCCAGTGCAGTGGCATGGAGCCAGAGCTGCCCGCTTCCTGGGCACAAGTCCCACGTCCTCAGGCTATGGCCAGCAGGTGCCACCCAGCCCTCCCCTTGCCGCATTGTGCAGTCTGGCTGAACGAGGCTTCACTGTACCCCTCCCTAGACTAGCGTGTAGCCACAGCAAGGGGGTTGGCTGGCCCATGCTAACATGTCCAGGGTTGACTTGTGCTCCATGCCCCTCCCAACCCCTGGTCCTTTGCAGAGTGCGGTTACGGTCAGACGGAGCGGCCATCCCCAGGCGTCGAAGCGGGGGAGACACCCACAGCCCACCTCGGGGCCTGGGCCCCAGCATAGACACACCACCCCGAGCTGCCGCCTGCCCCAGCAGCCCCCACAAACTCCCCCTCACCCGGGGGCGGATCGAGAGCCCCGAGAAGAGGAGGATGGCGACATTTGGGAGCGCCGGCAGCATCAACTACCCTGACAAGAAGGCGCTCTCAGAAGGGCACTCCATGAGGTCCACCTGCGGCTCCACCCGGCACAGCAGCCTGGGGGACCACAAGTCCCTGGAGGCCGAGGCCCTGGCAGAAGTAAGGGCCAGCAGAAAGCAGCCAAGTCAACAAGGCCCCAGGGGCAGTGGGGGGGAACGGCCCCGAGAGGAATCACAGCAGATTTTGCCAGCCTCAAGGCTAAGACAGAAAAGGAGTCAGTGAGCTGGCTTCCGCCCTGGCCCGGCCTTTCTGCACATTCAGAGGCTGATTGAAGGCAGCCACCGGCTTGGGTTCTCGTGGCTGAAGAGTGCCAGAGCCCAGGTTGGATGACAGAGATAGGAAAAAAATCTCCCCTCAAGATGTTACCATTCACTCATTCATTCATTCAATCCACCCATCTTTCATTCATTCCTCCATTCATTTACTGACATATGTTGATTGAACATCTGTTATGCTCATGGTGACAGTCACTGCAAGGTGATGCCTCCAACAGTGGTTAGTCCTGCCCTTGTGAACTCACCATCTATAAAGAAGAGAGTGCTGTCAGTTGGGATATAGCACAGCCCTGGACTGGCACTGAGGGTTAGGTTGGACACCTTTAAGGAGTGAATAATGGTACTTTGAGAGCCTGAGATCTAGGAATCCTACCTAGACAGGGAGAGAGTCCCTTGGGAGGACATGAACTTAGACCCAAAGGGTATAGAACTAAGCAACTGAAGGTTGAAGACAAGAATTTCTTGTTCCAGGCTCTTCCAGGATGATACTCTTTTTCTATTTAGATGAGAAATACGTATGATTTTTTTTTACATTTGCCAAATGAATAGAACTATACTTAAGGATTTGTTTAACTAGTTCCTGGAGTTTCCTTTCTCTCTGGGTCTATGTCTGTGTCTCTTCTCTCTGTCTGAAATTGAAGAGGATCACATGTACCTCTTCCAGGTGTCATCTTCCATGTAGGAGGTAGCAGCCAGAGGACCCCCCCCCCCATTCTAGAGCTCTATGCTGGAGCTTGTGAGCTTTGTCTTTAAGGGGGTCTGATAGGGACTCCAAGGGTTTCCCAGCATACCAACAACTCATGAAGCCAGGCACCAGTGGCTTGTGCCTAGAATCCTAGCTATCCCAGAGGCTGAATTCTGAGGATCACAGTTCAAAGTCATCCTGACAGAAAAGTCTGTGAGATTCTTAGCTCCACTTAACCAGCAAAAAGCCAGAAGTAGAGTTGTGGCTCAAGTGGTAGAGCATTAGCCTTGAGCAAAAGCTAAGGGACAGTGAGTGCCCTGACCCTGAGTTCAAGCCCCAGTACTGGCACAAAAAGAAAGAAAAGAAAGAACAAAGGAAAGAAGGAAGAAAGGAAGGAGAGAAGAAAGAAAGAACTCATCAGCAGCTACAACTCCTGTCCATAAAGTCTTCCAACCCCTCAAGGGCTCCCTGGGACCAGAGCCGTGGCTCAAGGGTCAAGCAGAGGAGGCAGGCAGCTTGGTCCTCCATTTTCAAAAAGCGACATCCTACCACCCACCATTAGCATCCAGCTTTCCCAGCCAGTGTGAGGGGTGAACTGCCTAAGGCCAGGCCCAGACTGCTTTACGTAACAAATCAAATCCATGACTGGCTCAAGTGGTATAGTGCCAGCTTAGAAAGCATGACATCCTGAGTTCCAACCCCAGTCTGAAGAACAAGAAGAAGAAGAATCAGTGCAGTCTAGAGCAGTGTTATCAGTAGGTCCCACAGCAGACAAGTCCCACAGGACATGAGCGAGGGGAGAGGACGAGTTCAGAGCCTGAAGTCATTTTTGGAACTCTGGTCTGACAAAGGTGAAGGACTCAGATGCAAGACTTTTTAGAACATTCAACTTATTGAAGTGCACTGTGAATCTCCAATAGTCCTGACAGGGCCCACTCCAACTCCCAGACTTCTTGGAATTTTATTCGCAGAGCATTTTGCAGGCCGAAGCCACAGAACACACTTAGGGAGGGCTGAATGAGTTTTCTGGGCACGGATGCTTACACAGCCCCTAACAGAACAACCGCCACTCAAGAGCTCCCTTCAGTGACCGAGGTAAAGTAGAACTCACGGCAAACTGTAAGGAGCCAGAAGGATACTGCACATGTGTGGGCCTGTTCAAAGCCACTCTGAAAGCCCTTGTTGGCAGACTAGAGGAGAGGTGATGTAGTGGATGGAGTTAGCCCAGATTCTCCAGTTTCAAAATGTCCACTAGGCTTCATATCGAAAGCCCAGTTTGAGACGTGCAGCACTGTCGTCAAAGTAAGAGGCGGGAAGTGGCTGCCTGTCCCGCCCTGCCCTCCACTGCCTGCAGCTCTCCACCCTACTGACCACTAATGCCAGGCTCCTGCCTAAACCACTCCACTCACCTTTCTCTGTCTTTCTGTCTTTCGGGCTCATACTTTGCTAGGGTAGGAGATGGGAGGTGATCATTACATTTTAATTATGGAAGTTTCACCTTTCAGCTCCCGTTGGGTTCCAGCAAACAGAGGAAACAATGGTGGGAATAGGGAGGGCAGTGGGCACTCCGCTGCCAGCGCAGTAAGCAATGCGAGGGCAGTTTATGGGTGGTGAGCTGTGTCTCTGTGGGTGGGGAGGTAGCAGACAGAGAAAGGACCATCATCTCCCCTTTTCAGGAGCATCCCCAGCAACGATCCATCGATCGATCGATCGATCGATCGATAGATAGATAGATAGATAGATAGATAGATAGATAGATAGATAGATAGATAGATAGATTAGATAGATAGATAGATAGATAGATAGATAGATAGATAGATAGATAGATAAACAGATAGATAGATAGAGATAAGATCCAAGTCTCCTTCTTAAAATTGGGGCAAGAGATGAAATATCATAGAGGAACATAAAAACTGAGATTAGTTACTAAGCAGACATGGATGATCCCCTAAAGTAAAAGGGCTAGGGTGCTGGTGGTTCACACTTGACATATTAGCTACTCTCAGTTCAAAGCCAACCCAGGCTGAAAAGTCTTCAAGAGTTCATCTTCAAAATAACCAGCAAAAAGCCTGACTGAAGGCATGGCTCAAGTAGTGGAGTGCCAGCCAAGCAAGCAAGCTGAGTGTGAGGCCTTCCTTGAGTTTAAGCCCTAGTACCCCCAAAAAGAAAAAGGAAGGAAGGAAAGAGAGAAAGAGAGGGAGAGGGAGAGAGAAAAAGATAGAGGGAGGGAGGGAAGAAAGGAAAAAAGGACAGAAAGAAGGAAGAAAGAGAGAAAGAAGGAAAATAAGAAGCAAAGAAGCAAGCATAGTCTAGGACAGTGGGTTGAGCCAGAGGCTGAGATGAACTCTGACCCTGGCCAACCTGGGCCATGGGGACCCAGAAAAGGCTGCCTGCAGACTGGGAAAGGGGGGAACGCAGGAAACCAGATTCATGCAGTTCTTTCAGGGTTGGTCTCGGGGTTTGCAGAAGAGCAAACAGGTCTTCACAGTCCCTGTTTCTCAGTGAGACTGGCCCCGCGCCAGCCAGCAATGGTTTTAACAATGTCCCCATTGTGTCCCCAGTAGCCATGTTGGGCTCCAGGCCACACAGCCTGATCAGCTCCTTTTCCATCAGCTGCATGTAGAGCCCACCCTGAACCCATCACGTGAGCTGAGGAGTCTGGGCTCTGAGGTTAGGAGAACCACTGTCTGATAGTTTCCAAAGCTTCATTCTGTCCATCTTCTCATTCCATCTCCACCGTGAATGAACTGAGTGCCATGGGGAGATGGAGACTCTCCCAAGGTTATACAGCAGCAGGTGCTGTGCTTGTACTGGGATTAGTGCTACCTTCCAGGGCCAGTCCTGCTTCCAGCTTAGGAACTGGATGCTGGCAAAGCCACCTGGTGATCTGAGGAGCCCAGGCTGGCCCGGCATGCCAATGTCTGTCATTGAAAATGCCCTCATGCTGAGGAGTTCGCAAATACAACCACAAGCTGGGGGGTTTTAGGCAGTAAGAATTCTCATAGCATCTGAAAATTTCTACTTTTTAAAAGATCATACTTCAGAGAAGAAAGTATCATCTTCTTCCAATTTCACTGAACTTTGTGAACATTCTGATACATTTAGTCACTTTCCCATAGGCAACAGATTTTTGTTGTTAACCTTTCAAGTTGACACATACTTGTAAAAAATTTTATGGGGTACAATGTGAAATAGGCATATGCCTTTGTAAGGCCATTTTTGATGCATACATGCCTATGGTACATTTATGCCTGACAATGGTCAGGACCTGAGCCAGATTCCCGTGGTTTAAGATTGGGCTGTGCTACTAATGAGCTGAATGACGTTAGCAAGTCATTTAAACAATCTGAGCTTCCTCCTATGTGAGCTGAGTGTAGCAGTTCTATTCTTGAGTGTAAGGACTGAAGAAGTGTTGGTGGAAAGGGTCTGGGTTTGGTGTTCAATATTTGGTATTTCTGCTTCTATGATTATTACCATTGTTTCTGAGTGCTGACTATATTGTCATACCACATTCTTTGTGGAGATCGTATTTCATACATTCACCAAACTCTCTGAGGTTGGTATGGTAATTATCTGTGATTTACAAATGAGGATATTGAGGTTCTGAATGATAACTGAGATCCTATAGCAAGGAAGTGGCAGAGCCAAGATTAGAACCCCTGTCTTGACTCTAGAACTTACCCTCTTGCCAGTCGTGGGACATGTCTTTGTTAAGTGAACTTCCTGTACAGGACAGGGAGCAGAGATTCTCCCATTGGGTTTTAAGCCAGCCTGGAGATTTGATCTTCCCTCTGAGCCATGTAAGCGCCCCCTCAAAGGCCCACAGCGGGAGCTGCCAGGGAAGGCCTCAAACTGCCCACTTGGAACTAACCGCCACGCTGTCTGTGTCCACAGGACATCGAGAAGACCATGAGCACAGCGCTTCACGAGTTGCGGGAGCTTGAGCGGCAGAACACGGTCAAGCAGGCGCCAGATGTGGTGCTGGACACCCTGGAGCCCCTGAAGAACCCGCCAGGCCCCATCAGCTCGGAGCCTGCCAGCCCCCTGCACACCATCGTCATCCGCGACCCCGACGCCGCTATGCGTCGCAGCAGCAGCTCCTCCACCGAGACCATGACCACCTTCAAGCCCGCCCTGTCCGCCCGCCTGGCTGGTGCCCAGCTGCGCCCACCTCCCATGCGGCCAGTGCGGCCCGTGGTCCAGCACCGGTCCAGCAGCAGCAGCAGCTCGGGTGTGGGCAGCCCAGCCGTGACGCCCACAGAGAAGGTGTTCCCCAACAGCTCCACAGACAAGTCAGGCACCATGTGACCCACAGGCTAGGCAGCACCACCATGGCCCACTGTGGCCCACCCAGGCCTGAGGTGGCCTCGGTGGCTCCCACTTGCTTCCCGGTGATGTGGGCCTCAGAGGGCAGGGCCCAGGAGATCAGCCTGGAAGGGTGTGTGTGTGTCTGTGGAGAGCAGAGGCCCAGGCATTAGCTGATGCTCACACTCAGCCATGCGAATCCCACAGACCTCTCGTGTGCAAACAGACACCCAGAGGAATGCTGGAGCAAGAACAACCCAGTGTAGCCATCCCAAGATCCAGGCAACATGCTCATGGCTTCTCCTGCATAGCGCCACTGGAAGAGTAGTCTCTCAACCTATGTATATATGTGTGTGTGTGTATATATATGCACACACACATATATATTCATATATATGTATGTATATGTCTGTAGGTGTGTGTGTATATATATATATATTTATGCATCTATATACATATACTAGATCTGGACATACACACATGCTAAATGTATATAGTATCTCCTTTTTCTTTTTATGAAACTTAGATTTACCTCAGACCCATACCACCAAACGTCTCCCACTGAGTTATTTGGTGGGATTTGCAGGGACTTTTCTGGGAGAACTTAAGAGGGCCCACAGTAACTGCAAATGAAGCAATATACCACTAACCTGCAGAATAACAGACAGAAACAGTCTCCCACTATCTCCAGAAGACGTGGCCTTCCAGAACAGTCTGCCCCCTAAAGGAAGGGTGGGGCAGGGGGGTACCCCAAACAGGCTGCTTCTAGAGGTGGGGAACCCTTCCTAGAAAACCCTTCGTCTACCCCAGAGACCCTGATCTTCCACTCGGAGGCCAAAGGCCAACTTTGTCCCCCAAAGCACGGGAGGAATTGCTGAGAAGCCCCCTGGCCACAGCGTCCTTGTGTTTGCGTGTGGAGTCGGGATGCGGGATGGTGATACCTAATCCCACTGTAGCACAGTACTGTGTGTGGTCTGGGTGGGGGAGGAGAACAAAACAAAAACAGCGATGTGGAATACTTCAAAACCTAGAAACGCTTTAGGAATAAATCTGTGGTAACTGTAGAGGTTTAACTTATATCATCTTCAAAGATTTAATTTTCTCTTTTCCTCATTCTACTAATTATACTGTGTCAGAATTGGAACTAAGCAGGCAAAGAGGCATTGTGTCACACTGTCTTCATTTGACATCAGGCCATGGTAGGCCTTGGCTTGAACCTCTGGCATGAAGCACATGAGCCATCACTGCCCAATCAGACCAAAGGCTGAGGTGGGCAAGTCTTGGCAATTTCTTTGCTAGAGAGCACTGTTAAGTTGAGCTTATGCAAGTGAAAACAGCTTCCCAGCCTCTCCCCTTCCCCTTCATCCACATCCTCCAGAGCAATTAATGTGGGTGAAAATATGGCAGCAGAAAGGAGGGCCGTGATTTTCCATTGTAAGGAGCAAGACATGTTGCTTCTCCCAGGGGAAAGACCTTCCGAGATGCTCTCACTTGATTCTATTTTACCTCCTGTTCTGATGTCTCTGTTTCCCAGAGACAAGCTGCTTCTGGATAAGAGAACACAGGCAAATCTGATCATAACAGGACCACCACCCGTATTCACCCCTTTATGCTAAACCTAGGGGCCCTTTTTCTATTTTCTCAAGCATTTTCTCTCTCTCTCTGTCTCCCTCTTTCTCCCTCTCCCTCTCCCTCTCTCTTTCTCTCTCTCTCTGTCTCTGTCTGTCTGTCTGTCTGTCTGTCTGTCTCTCTCTCTCTCACACACACACACACACCTTTCTTAGGTTTGACGTTTAAGTCCAGCGCCTCAGCCCCAGTCTTGCACGGAGCTGTGTGACGCAGTGTGGTACTCCACCTTTGCAGCCTCACATCTCTGCCCCATGAGATGAAGCTAATAGAGATCAAGGTGAGCCAGCCTGGCGAGCTGGAGGGCATGGTACCAATACTAGTGCCCCTCTGATCATGAGGAAAGTGAAGCTATCAGATCCAAAGCCATCCAGACCTTTGGAAATCTCCTAATGGCATTTAAGAACTAGGCACTGGAATTTTCCGAGCAGCTCACTGAGAACGCTGAAGCGTGGACTCGGATCACCCGCGGATGCTGAACGTGCCATCATTGCATTTCCTCCCAGTAAATTTAAGTGTCCTTCCTTCTTTGGGCCTCCAGGTGTAGTGAATCACTCATACGAGGGGGTGTGGAGCAGTCAGCCATTATTCCTGTCCTACAGAACTGACACAGAACCCACACAGTGGAAGGAGGGATTAAGAATGCCAGTGAGAGGCCTGTGTGAACTTGGCCTACAGCTAGCAGCTCTTCTCTATGGCTCCCAGCTGTGAAGGACCAGCCTTCTGCCCACCTTTCAGCACGTAAAGATATCCCTGGATTAGAGTTAAGGAGAGTGAGACCCTGGGGTTTACTGGGACCTGGCCAAGCTTTGACAGATGGCTGGGAGCAGGGTTCATGTCCTGCTGCAGAGGTCATTCGTCGGCTAGATGCTATGCCACCCAGCCGGGATCCAGCCCCAGACTTTAGTCACCCACGGGGCAAAATGCAACATGCTCTGGCTGCAAGCACCACAGTAGACAGCTCTGTTGCCTGACACCTATAACACCAGTTAGGCTGTGTGGATTTTTCTCTGAATTGATAGATTTCATTTTTCCTCATTGAAAACAGACGAGCCTTTCCCTGGATTGTCTGTAGGCAGAGCCTCTGCTGTTTTCTTTAAGCAGCTATTTCCCCCCCTTCACCATCGGCAAGTGGCTGACGAGTTGACGTTGAGGGAAGCTTGCTTGACCATTCCCCACTCCTCCAGCCCCAAAGCTGAGCCTTGATGCAGTCCACTCGCTTCCCCTCCAACCGCCTCGCATGTCTCTGCCGTGCTCTGCGTCCACTCAGCCCGCCACTGTTCTCCGAGCATCGGCCTTCTCTCTCTCCTCCTCCTGCCTGTCTTAGTCCACTATATATTGCTGTATTTGCTTCAATGCTGGAAAGTAACTGTTCAAATGTGAAACTGTAATTTTTAAAAAGGCTACGATTTAAATTATAGCCAACACCACTCACCAAATCTTTGCACCTAGTAGATAGATCGATGTAAAAACCAATACCAGAAACCTAACTGTACAGTGAGTGGGGGGTGGGGGGGGCATAGTAACCTAGTTAGTAGTTCTCAATATAGCCAATTGTACAAGGGGAAGTAGTGGCCTCCTACTTGTTCATCGCCACTATTGAAAGCTGTGCTGATCAGTTAGTTGACAACGGGCATTTTCCTTTCTTTTCTTTTGCGCTACGGAATGACTTCTTAACCTTTGACTTATCCCCAAGGTCAAGCCTTCTGTCTTTGTGTATAATGGACCTTCAGTCTATTTTAGGAATGAACCAGCAAGATGTTCATTGAAAACTGACCAAAGACAATGAATTCCTGGTCCAATTCCCTGGGTCTTGCCGCCGCGCCGCGCTGAAGACCTTTCTTGGATAAAATTGAAAACAAGCCGTGCTTCCAGCGCACTCTTCCTCCTCGCCCACCCGCCCCACCCCTCCTTTTTCTCTTAAAAGAGCTGCTCTGAGCTTTGGGAGTCGATGACAACTCCTTGCCTTTCCTTGTTTTCAGTGCTAACGATTTCTCACCTTGAAGCGCCTTTTGAACCCGGGACAGAGCGCACTATCAGAGGAAAGTATGGGCTGGGGAAGAAGAAAGACTCTTCCTGGTCAGAGTCTTTTTTCTCCTGAAGTCACTAAGCAAGGGGCCAGGAGAGAAGTGGATTCCCAAGGGACGGCAGGTTTCTATCCAGTGACAAGATCGGAGTGGCATGAGACACAGGGAGCTGGAGCCGTCCTTTGGCTCCCTACGGCTGGACCCAGCACTTCAGAGATCTGCCTTACAGACACTTCAAACTGGTGTGTGGTGTCCGCAGAGGAGCCCGTGGAGGAAGGGCCGTGCTGTGCGCTCCCTCCGCCCTGGCCCGCCTGGAGTGCCTTGTCGGGTGTTTGTCTTTCTCCTTCCGTGGGTGAAGTTGCAGCAGGCTGCCGGGACCTGGTCATCGTTTGTGCCCAGCAGATGGAGATACCGCAAGACTCAACTTCCTCGCAGTCTTTCTATCCCTAACTTTCCACACAGGGTACCACACTAGAGCCCACGCCTCTTGTTTCCGAGAAGCCCCCCCCACACACACACACACTCATGGAGGAGTGGCTGCCTCAACAGTTGCGGCGTGGGGCCCTGCAGAGCAGGACTGGAGGCCAGAGGCACACGGAGGAGGGAAAGGGCAGAAAGGGGCAGGCTGGGGTGTGGCTTCCCTGATTTTCTGCTATGCAGAGCTAATGCTGACGTTTCCTGTCAACTTGCCCGGTTCTCCGGGTCTCCTCTCTTCCCCAGAGAATTCCAAGCAGAAAATGTCCTCACCTCATTGCCCCGGGTGCTGAGGGGGGCTCTGCTGTCGGGCGGGGCCTGCTGGCCCTCTGGGCTTGATCTGCCAGGCTCCCGCCTCCGGGACTGGCCAGATGGCCATCGCTGCCCCTCGCCCGCACCCCCTTTCTGTGTGAACTGTCCCGGCAAATCATAGAGCGTTCGTTCCTTGAACCTGAACCACCAGAGGGCACCTCCTTCCCTCCCTGAGGCTGGCGCTGCTGCCCAGGCCCTGGTTTCTAGCACCACGACTGTTTACATGGTTTGGCAGTAGGTTTGGTTCTGATTGCTTCAGAGTGGCTGGTCTCTTTTGTTTCCTTTGGTTTCCTTCCTCCCCGAATTGTGACAGGACAAACAAACCACCCTAAGAAATTGCTGGTTGCCTGTCCCTGCGTGACATGTGTTGCCCTCTTCCGGGTATCCTCTCTCTACCTTACAACCAAACGCCCGTCCTATAGAGAGTGTCTGACTGGATCCTCTGTGTGTATTCTGATGGTGCCTGCTGGTTTGATGTGGAGCTATCCTGTGAAATAAAACAGCTTAACTTTTCTCAAGCGTGCCCTGGTGGTTTTTGGACAGAGGGTGGGCTGGGAGGGAATTGGCAAGAGTTTGGGGACATGGTGCCGGTGGAGGGGTGCCTCGGGAGTGCAGTTCTGCCTTCTGTTTGCTCCCCTACTGGACCACCCTGGAAACTGGCCTGGCGATGTCCTTGAGCTCAGCTCCAACAAGGTGTTAGGCAAGGTTGTGAGAAGAACACTTCAACTGGAGGGCCAGTGGGAGAAGGCTGCTTCGGAAGGGCTGTGGAGCCATCAGGTCTGGACAAGGCAAAGGGAAGGCAAGGAACAGCAGCTGCCATCCTCTTCAACAGCTTAAGATCAATTCCCAAGGCTGGGAAGGTGGCTCAGTGGTGGAGCGCTTGCCTTGCATGCTTGAGGCCCTGAGTGCGATTCCTCAGCACCATATAAGCAAAAAGAAAAAAGCCGGAAGTGGCGCTGTGGCTCAAGTGGTAGAGCGTTAGCCTTGAGCTGAAGAGCTGAGGGACAGTGCCCCAGGCCCAGAGTTCAAGTCCCACGACCAGACCCAAAAAAAAAAAAAAGATCAATTCCCAGAGGCTGTGAGATGCTGATTTCTAATGCCACACTTCTGCATTTGTTGCCCAAACACTCATAACACAGCCTCTTGGAATGTTATAAGACATCTGGGCTAGGGCCTTGAGTTTAAGCCCTCTTCCTAGTGCACACACAAAGGGGTGTGTGTGTGTGTGTGTGTGTACAAATTACCACTCATTTCTGTCCCAGGCCCTAGATTCAACTTTAGAAAACCTGTATTTTATGCAATCCTCAAAGCAGCCATTGAAAGTGAGTATCATGAACACACTCTATTCTGCAGGCTAAGAAACAGGTTCTGAGCCATGCAGAGGGCTGCCGAGGGTTAGCCTATGAAGTGCAGCAGCCAGAATTTGGACTTGGTCTGACTGACCTGGTCATGCCATCACCGTGCTTTTCACAGTGCATGGTGATTCCTCATCCTGGGACTGGGGCCAGGTCTCATGAGACCTCCCACTTGCTGCCTGCCGCAAGCTCCACGCCTCAGCCTGAAGGCCCTGAATCTACACATACCTGCCTCTTGGCACAAGAGCTTGGGCTCTTTTGCCAGCCCCA